ATAAAAACTTTCATTTTCTATTTTACGCTCTTAGGGGTCGAATTTTTAAAAACGCTGAAATACCTATGTAACTCATTATTTTTGCCGCAATACTTTCTTAGATTTACGCGAATGTTTGACATTATTAAATAAAACTATCTTTTCGGATTATTTCGCGGATTTATTTTGATTTTTGGTTCCCGACGTTTCGAATGCTTTACAGCATCCATGGTCACGGGAGAGACTGAGGTGTTACATGTCTTAAAGATATAGTTGTTACAGACAGCCTACCCACAATCAACAAAATGAAAATTGCACCAATTACATTACAATATTTTAACTTTAAACATTTTTATAATTTTAATTGAATATGGAAAATTATTTATTTAATTTTTGCTATTATTTTTATAATTATTACAATTTAAAAAATATTAATTAGTAATCTATATTTAGTGTTGCCATTATTATATTTATAACCATAAAGAAAAATAATAATTATAGTATTAATTATTTAAGCCATATAATTGTTCAATGTGTAATTTAAAAAGTTAAAATTAATTAAGGATTATAATTTTAATTTAGTTTGCTATTATTTAAAAACAAACTTACTAAGCAACACTATTAATATATACTTTTAATTTTTCATTTTTCATTTTTAAAAGTATATATTAATAGTGTTGCTTAGTAAGTTTGTTTTTAAATAATAGCAAACTAAATTAAAATTATAATCCTTAATTAATTTTAACTTTTTAAATTACACATTGAACAATTATATGGCTTAAATAATTAATACTATAATTATTATTTTTCTTTATGGTTATAAATATAATAATGGCAACACTAAATATAGATTACTAATTAATATTTTTTAAATTGTAATAATTATAAAAATAATAGCAAAAATTAAATAAATAATTTTCCATATTCAATTAAAATTATAAAAATGTTTAAAGTTAAAATATTGTAATGTAATTGGTGCAATTTTCATTTTGTTGATTGTGGGTAGGCTGTCTGTAACAACTATATCTTTAAGACATGTAACACCTCAGTCTCTCCCGTGACCATGGATGCTGTAAAGCATTCGAAACGTCGGGAACCAAAAATCAAAATAAATCCGCGAAATAATCCGAAAAGATAGTTTTATTTAATAATTTTTGCCGTACTCAATTTATACGGAATTTTATGCAAATATGTCCAAGGAATAAAAATTTTCATACAAATTTTATTCCTTATTTCACCCCCTTGGGGGTTGAATTTTGCAAAATCCTTCCTTAGTGGATGCCATCGTCATATGAGGAATACGTGTGCGAAATTTCAATTTTCTAGCATAAAGGGTTTGGTCTGTGCGTTGATACATCAGTCAATCACTTTTGCCTTTTATATGTAGATAAATAGGCACTGGAAGATTATTTTAATTACTCAAGTATATTTTATTTATTCGGCCCTTTTTAACGTCATTCCTGGGCACGCCTCCCTTTAACACGAGGGGGATCAGGAAATGGTCCACCACACAGGCCAAATGCAGTTAGGCGGACTATTGCGAATGATTCGCACTTGAGAATAACAGAGATTCGAGAACCGGGATTTGAACCTGCTTTATTTGTTTTTCCAACCGAGCGCGTTACCACTTTGCTAACACTTATTATAATATACTTGTAATTTGAAGAGATTTACATCGTAACAGTGACTAAAAGTATATTATTATTAACAGCGTAATCTACCGTATCTAATACACTTATCGACTTCTGATAAGAATTAATCACATCAAATTGAGTAAAGCAAACGTTAGAGTTGCCTGTTTGAAATATTTTCTTGTACTGAATTTAGATACCTTTGTGCATTTCAAAATTTATAAATAAAATAGTTCAAAATATATATATTTAATTTTATATACTTTAAAACTGGAGGTTTAACTATCAATGCTATTTGAAAAAATCTCCGTCCCGTTCCGCTATTGTGGTAAGCGGGATATGGACAAGTATTGTCCTATGTCCATCCACATGATTCAATCTACATATGTCCCTACCAAATTGCATAGAATATTTAGCCAGCTACTGTTAATTCCAATATTTAATTTCAAGTGTTTCCAAGGGATTCTGCATATTGCAAAAGGGCAAAGAGATATTATATTGACATATTATTGTCGTCCTGATCGATTTCAGCCACAGCGGTCGATTTTTCTTTATAAAAAAACCAATAAACTCGGCCCGGGGTTCGAACCCTGAGCCACCGAATCTATAGGTACCTACATACTAAAAATTTGACCGTTATGGCAGTAAATGACAATAGTAACCACCTAGAGAGAGGATATTTTTTACAAATTCAAACTCTAAAAGAGTGACAAAGTCTGTAACTATAAAAATATTTACGACTAGAATTGCCCGCAGCTTCGCCCGCGTTCAGATGACCAAAAACCAAATTCTTAGGTTTTACATAGGTATTAGTATATTCTTAGATTGCAGTTTTTGTATTTTTTTTCTCAGAAATGAGATATTTTCCTGCGGTAAAAAGTATTCTATATGTTGACCCGGATAACCAGCTATCAATTTAAAATGTCAAATATTCGCGTAAATCTAAGAAAGTATTCAGCTATCACCATACTAAATTTTATCAAAATCCCTGCAGTGGTTTTTCTGTGATGCGGTAACAGAAAGACAGACAGACAAAAATTCTAAAAACTATAGATTCGGCCTCTGTATCGATAATAATGTTTATTTCAATAAGATTTTCCAAAAATATATTTAATGTACACATTTGGCTTGGTTATAATTTTATTATATGTATAGATTATCAAATTTAAAACAGCAACTGAGTGACATCAGACCACTAGCATAAAATAAAACGAAGGCCGATTTTACTAGAAAATGGAACTAAGAGAAATATTTCACATATTTCACGCTCTCCACTAAATGTAAAAGAGCTTTTTCTGTAGTTAAGCAAAGTCAAATATTAAAATAAAGTTTATTTTTCCTACAAATTAGAACAAGTGCTCCCAAAAATATCAAGCAAGGGCCTGAATCGAGTAAGTGGTTACCTCTCCATTATACTTAACTTAAAGTAAATTGTGTATGCAAACAATTCAATAATTTTACTAATGAACTTGGTTTGAATATTAAATATTGTACTAGCATTTTCCCAGAGCTTTGTCCATGTAGCTTATATATGACTAGTAAGTATCGTAGAGTAATGAGGCTATTACTCTCTGGGAGGGGTCTGGGAATGCATCACGAAAAACCACTGGACAGATTTTGATAAAATATGGTACAATGATAGCTGGCTACTTGAGTCAACATATAGGATACTTTTTACAGTGAGAAAATATCTCATCTCTGAGAAATCTATACTAACCGTTTAAACGTTCCTAGGGACGAACCCGAGCGAAGCGCTCTTAGAAGTATCTTATATTCATAATATAGATTTTTTCCTTATTTATTATAAAAGAAAACTAAGATTCATGCACTTACCTATTTTAGACTAAGGCAATAATATAAATGTACTTTATAAGAGCATGTGATGTTAATTTTAATACTTATTTTTATTTATAATCTATATATAAATAGGCAAAGACAAAACAGTTTAGTACTATAATCATTTATTTCAATGATGATTATGATAGAATTTCGACCACCGTGGGAACACTAGTATATTATATTAATGAAATAATCATATAGAACCATCTACGAGTACCTCTAAATATAGAAAAAAATATATTGGAATGACACATCTAAACTTTGTGTCATGTGGTTATAATAAGCTATTATTATATATATTTTAGTGATATCGATAACAGAAAGTTGACTTGTCTAGGGGTTTGGTAGAAATTGCTAACTTGCTTATTAAACGTAAATAAGCGTAGTATCTGATAATATAATATAGTCGTATAATGTTTTTTGTATTTTAAATAGTTACAAATCTTGTCACTAACTTCAAAAGTAACTCACTAATTTTAAAAGTATCTTTTAATTTAATTTTTTTATAATAATTTTCGCTCGCGGTTACTCGATATATTTAATATATATGTACCTATATTATTAGGTATAGACTCTGTTCAGTAATTCTGTAAATTCTCTGTATACAGCCCTTTTTTTAACGTCCCACTGCTGGGCACGGGCCTCCCTTCAGTATGAGGGGAATCAGACCATAGTCCACCACGCTGGCCAAGTGCGGGTTGGCGGACTTCACATGTCTTTTGAAAACTTACTAGGTTCTCTCAGACGTACAGGTTTCCTCACGGTGTTTTCCTTCACCGTTAAGGCAAGTGGTAATCATGTTGGAAATGATTCGCACATGAAAATATCAGAGGTGCGAGACCCGGGATTTGAACTCGCTTCACTCAGTTTCCCAAGCGAGCGCGTTACCTCTGGGCTACCACTGCCTTTTTTACATAACTAAATAAAATAAATTCTCTACAGACAAATAAAACAAATAAAATTTAACTTCAACTTAAAACCAACTTCATACTTAATTATCCAATTCAAATATTGTATTAGTGCCAAAAAAATTGTGGCTAAGCGGCCTCGCGCTAGAGTACGTGCTGTATCAATTTCCGTGACTTTTGCATTTTAGCGACCTCTTTGTGTTTCGATGCATCATTTTCCGGAGTACCGCTAACACACAATTATGTATAATACATTCCCACTATTGTTCCATACAATTCATAAAACAGTCATTGTCCGAATTTCTAGCAAACGCTACATATCATGATTTTCGTGTAAACCGATAAAAATAATTGTACATATTCAATCAATTTTGATAAGAGAAAAAATTTAGTCACCATACTCTATACATTTTTAATCTTTGATAGGGCGCTACATCGTTACTTTATCGTGTATTGTATCTCTTTCTAAATAGTGAATTTAGAGTGAAACAGAATAATACTGTGATAACAGCACTAAATTTCATAATAGCATTCGCATTCAGAAAGGATGGTCGGATAAAGTAGGGCACTTAAATTGGCCAGGATACTCAGTGTCACAGAGATAAAAGGACGTGCTGATTTGGATATAAAGTGATAAGAAAAAATGGTAAATATTTTTTTTATCTAACTATTTTTTATTGCATCTTTATCATAATCTGTTTATCAACTTTTTTAACTTCAAATAGAAGTACTAAATTCGAGAGTTATTTTGTACGAGTCTTGATAAATAAGTATTACTTAAATACATCAACATATAATATGTAAAATTCAAGAAAAAATCCAATTCTAAAATGCAAAAATTACATTTAAAGTGACATCAAAGTCGGTGTACCTTTTTATTTAAAAGTGGTTAAGCGGTTATTATCTTATCCTTATATATTCTGCGATAATATTGGCATTAACAATAAAGCAAACTTAATACTCTCTTAGATAATTATTGTTATTATTTTTTGTAAAATAGTGTGTAGGCACTGTCTGTAACAAGTATATAAGGCCTTTGAGACGTCTATAACCTTAATCTCTCCCGTGACCATAATTGTTGTAAAGCATTCGAAACGTCGGGAACCAAGAAATAAAATAAATACGCGAAATAATCCGAAAAAACAGTTTTATTTAAAAACAAAATTACTCCTTACGGTCACTCAGGTGGTACGATGGTCAATCATCAAAGTACAAAGCAAAGTAATCATTTCAATTCATTTAATGAATGCAATCGCATGCTGCCCTTGAATTATATTCTTTTAGTATTCGAAATATCTTAAGAAGTATCTATATATGTATTTTAAAAACTGTTATTTTTATTTTTTATTTCACTAACTACTAGTTTTTTCCGGCGGCTTTACTCGCGTTTGTTTATAGGGTCGAAGGACTGATGTTAGTTAGACCGACCTTAATAAATTTACCATAAGATTTTATTGAGATTTATTTTTTATATCGGGCTTATAGTTCCAAATATTAGCGCGTCAATAAGCAATATATATAACTTAAAAGAGTTTTTAGAAAGAGAGAGCATCTTAAAAACTAACTCTGAATAATAATAAATAACAAATTTAAAAGTTGCAAATAACTCGTGCAACAGATGTTACTTGAAAGAAAAAGAAATAACATTATAAAGTGTGCCCCTTTACGCTACAGTGGCTTCCTCGAAATATGACTGAACGTACGTTTTTGCTCATTTTTTACGCAATCGAGTTAACAGATACATTATAAAAGTAAAAATAAAACATTTACTCTCAGTTTGTCTTTAAACTATAGTCAAAAAAAAATACATCGTATAGTGCAATTCGCAACATACACCCATAGAAAAAATAATATTATCGTTCGTCCGTTAATCTGCTCACATCGTTTATTTGTATATTAGCATTGCCCGCGACTCCGCCCGCGTTCAGATGACCAAAAATAAAATTCTTAGTTTGTAAATATTAGTATACTCTTACATTGCAGTTTTTGTATTTTTTATTAGAAATCAGACATTTTTACGCGGTAAGAAGTATTCTATATGTTGACTCGGAAACGAGCTATCACTATACCAAATTTCATTAAAATCCCTCCATTGGTTTTTCTGTGATGCGGTAACAGACAGACAGACAGACAGACAGACAGACAGACAAAAATTCTAAAAACTATACATTCGACATTTGTATCGATAATAATAATATTTATTTCAATAAGATTTTCCAAAATCTATATTTAATGTACAGATTCGGCTTAGTTACAATTTTATTATATGTATAGACTAGCGACTCACCTTCACCAATTCCAAAAATTTGGAAACATTTACTTATTTTTCTAGATACGTAAAGACGCCAGTTCAGTACTTTTTCTCGTCTGTGATGTTTCGTGTATATAATTAGGTCACTCTACAAACGCACTAAATTTCATCTAGTCCATACTAATATTATAAATGTGAAAGTGTGTTTCTTTGTTTGTTTGTTTGTTTGTTTGTTTGTTTGTTTGTTTGTCTTTCTTCCACGTCGAAACGGCTTGGCGGATTGGCGTGATTTTTTGTTTGGAGATAGTTGGAGGGCTGGAGAGTGACATAGGCTATTTTTACTGCGGGAGATTAACTCTTTCCCACGGGAAAACAAGTTATAATACAATCCAAAAAAATATTAGTGATCAGAATTACTTGAAACTTGATATTAATACTCTTCAATAAAATTAAAATAAAACGTGTTTTAGCATTTTTCAAAATTCATCCTATAAGGGGGTAAAATAGGGGATAAAAGTTGGTATGAAACTACCTTTTTAGAGATTTTTTGTAGTTATAGCGCGAGCGAAGCCGCGAGTTTTACCAGGATATAAATGTCAGATAGTAGGATAACAGTTTAAGCGGTTATTAACAATAGAGGTTACATACGTCTTTATATAGAAGATTAGCAATCGTCTGTTCCACGTGATCTTTAATTAATATTGCTGGGAATGAGCGCAGAGTTTAGGACATACTTAAAATATACGTACATCAGAAATGGCTTTGATCACATTGTACCAAGTTTGCAATGAAATTAAAGCGGACAGTAAAATAATATGTATTGAGCCATTTTTAACGTCACTGCTGAGCACAAGTCCCCCTTCAATATTAGCCCCCTCATATTGAAGGAGGGCTCGTCTCATCAGGCCATAATACGCGGTAGCTTAGGCCAAGTACGGGTTGGTGGACTTCACATGTCTTACGAAAAGTTACTAGGTTCTCTCAGACGTACAGGTTTCCTCACGGTGTTTTACTTCACCGTAAGGCAAGTTGTAATCATGTTAGAAATGATTCGCACATGAAAATATCAGAGGTGCGAGACCCGGGATTTGAACCTGCTTCACTCAGTTTCTCAAGCGAGCGCGTTACCACTGTGCTTCCTCTGCCTTAAACAGTAACACATATGTAGATGTTACTCTAGTTCATAGTTTATATGTGAACTAATTCATATCGATACACACAGATACAAACTTTCACATTTATAATAGTAGTTTAATTGTTAAAGCGCAAGCTATAACTTTGCTAAGTTTCACTGAAATCGGATCAGCTGTTTCGGAGATTTCTGCAAACTTACCTACATCATACAAAATATACAATTTGTTACAATATAATTAAATATAAATTGATAAACATTTAAATATTATACCTTTATTAAAATTAAATCATATTGTTGAAACTTGTATAAAAAGGAATAAGGTGATTATAAAAATATACTTCAAAAACGAGCTAATTCAAAAGTTTGCGAATGAACGAATGTGTATGTTTGTTGTATTTAGGATAGAAACAGTTTATGTTCTAAAAGAACATAGACTATTTTTTATTGACCTGTTTACATGTCAGGCCTCGAAACCGGTTTAAAAAAACGGTTAATTTATTTAATGTAATTATTAATTCATCACTCGTTAATTTCATTAATCTGTTGATAAAACCGAATGATTTTGTAAACCGAAAAAAATAACGGTTATTCTTAGAGAAAGGTTAAGCTTAAGTTTTGATTCCGAAATAAACCAGTTAATTCCAATAACTTACTTGTATTAAACAATTCACCATTAGCAAAGATTCGCCAAATATAACCGCACAAAACTCGTTAACGATTAATTTTCGATCATGGAACCTAAATTCGTTTAAAACCGTTATCCGGGTTTCAATCTGTTACAGAACATAAACGAAACCTTAAACCGAAAAACCTTTCGGTTATTGATCAAAACCGGTTAAAAATTGAACGGGTTTCCGAGCAACATTCAAACGACGCCGCGGGAAAAACCAGTCTTAAATGTAACTAAACTTACTATCCCTATTACTATATTTCTTTTCGCAAATATTTTCCAATTATTTGAGCGTCTCATATTTCCAAATGACTAAGTTATTGGCGAATTTAATAGAAACGTCGTTGGTTTGTCGCAAAAATAAGTAGGTGTGTAGAGTTCATGTAAACAGCACTTTCAGTCACGTCATAAAGTAGCTTTTACATTGAACAGTTATTTTGTTCCAGTAAATTAACTTTATTCTTAGAAAATTGTATAACGGATACATTAGTGCAGCAAGCGATGATTTCAGTGCTGCCGCTTCATTCATCATTGTGGGTTCGATTTTCGTGTACAGCAAATGTTTGTTTTATCTGTGGTTGCTTATAATTATTTGGTCGTTTATTTTAAGAAACTAAGTAGAACTGAATACCTATTAATTATGCAGTTTACTATTTACCAGCGACATACTCTAGGTAAGTCGCTTCGATACGTCTAGGTGCATAACAGAAGCCTATGTGTTATTCCAGACCATAGTACTATCTGTTTACTAAAACTCATCAAAATCTGACCAGCTGTTGCAACGTGAAAGACTAACTACTAAATACACACACATACAAGTTTTCGCATTTATAATAGTACCTACATTCGGATTTATTCATTAGTCTTCTAAATATTAATTCAACTTATGACAAATTATAGCAAAAATTTAATTCCCGGTAAGAAGATTTCCCTTGAGGCTATTTTTATAAATATAGCATAGAATGGCTATTTTGTACTATGCTAATTGTTTTATAGTGTCAGTATTTGGAATTGTGTCAGTTCTAAGTATTTTAACGTGTATAGATACTCTGATGTTTAATTTTATAAACATTATATACAGTTTGTTTGTTTGTTTCTTTCTTTGGTTTTTTGTCCTTCTTTCACGTGAAAATAGAGTAACGAATTGGTGTTTTTTTTTGTGTGGAGATAGTTAGAAAACACGTTATAACCTACAACAACACATCACATCTACGTTATAACATACCTAGGGACAAACCCGAACGAAGCGAGAGTGAGTCGCTAGTAATTACGAGTATAATAAAAATGAGATATCAATTAAATTTCTGTTTCTCCGCCGATATGTATAGGTCTTAACATGCGTAGGAAGAAAAAGCTAGCAAGTTTTGTTTACCCACTTTGGGCACATAAATGGAGAAGAAATAAGCGCTCACTTTCCGAGAGTGCTCAAGGAATTTGTTTCTTATTTTATCGTAATAAATCATTGGCATTTACTCAGATCTTCATTAAATAAATATAAAGGATGATTGGAGTACTTTTCATAAATAGATAAACTTTATTGTTCATCCCGAAAAATATACAAAAAGTAGAAATATATAGATGATACACAGGAGGCGGCCTTATTGCTATAAGTTCCAAGCAATCAATAGGAGTAGGTAATTATGTAAAATGGTGTTAGGTGTACTTGCTACACACAATTATATATTTCCATATATTCTAAATACAAATATATAGTATACAAGCGACTCACCCCCGCTCCGCTCGGGTTCGTCCCTTAGTACGTTTTAACAAGTTAAAAAGTATCCTATATGTTGACCCAGATAACCAGCTATCATAATACCAAATTTCATCAAAATCTGTTCAGTTGTTTTCTCATGATGCTTTACCAGACAGACAGACAATTTTTTTAAGACTATAGATTCGGCCTCTATATCGATAATTAATACTCACTATTTTAATAAAATTTTCCAAAAAATATTTAATGTACAGTTAATTCGACTCAGTCAGAATTTTATTATATGTATAGATATGTCGCAGGCAAATCGCAAAATTTCGCGTTTTACATACGGCTTCGTCTGTTTAAAAACGCTCGCTGTTATGAAATATGCCTTCGGCAAATTGGCAACTCGTTCATTTGATGGCATTGTGGTCACTGTTCTAACCTAGCCTAACCAACCTAGAAAGAAAGAAAGGTTTCTGCCAAAAAATAAAAGCTGTTTTTACAATTTGCCTAAGGCATTTTACAAAAACGCGAGCGTTTGCAAACAAATGGGGCCGTGTATAAAGAGACGAATCATACGATATGCCTGCGACAGATATACGTACATGCATATACCTATAAATATATATTAAAAAATGAAAAATACGACTACATAAAAACTTAAACTCGAACTATAAGGATGGGAACAAGTTGAAGAAGAAACATAGTAGTATTATGCAGTCATAAGTAAAAACATCCTTTTTCTCCTAGTTTCAGTGTAAATATGTAAATATTATAGGATTTCATAAACTTAAGGTTTTCATTTAAATATGTTTGAATCTTTTACGAATAGAATTCAGAAAAAAGCAAAAGATAGCTTGTTATTTGTTGATAAATTAATGTTTTTGAATACGATGTGATATAATTGTCAAAATTTCAGATTTGTCATGTTGGTAATACTAATTACGAAATTTATCAAACTTATCAGCTGCGGGCGTCGAAACCAGGCTAATTACGTAAAACATTAGTTCATTATATACAATTTAAAATATTTTAAATGATTAACATTATTTTTTAGTTGATAAGACAGTGACTTTAATGGTCTTAATCACATTTAATGTTTCTAAGTAATAGACTAAATATCACTTTCCAACCTTGAGTAGCGCAATCATTGATAAGTTCAGAACTCAGTCTAATGAATTACATAGCCCACCAAGGAAAATGTGAAAGTCAAAAATAGTAACGTGATTTTGCTGTTTATGCTACTATTGCTTATTTTACAATTCATATCGTTAACTTTTTTCTAAGAGTAAGAGAAATTTTATATTAGTATTCGTCGTCAATTTTCAATTTTTGAGAACAAAATATGAATATAAAAATAATACTATATTCTTTTGCATTTTCAAGCATTAATTTTCTTCCCCTTGAAAGAGAGATTGCTAAAGAGATTATAATAACACCTCCAGGTAAATTTCTAAGAAGTATTTGGCATTATGTTTTGTTCTATGACACTCTACCTATATTATTTATTCGTTAGTCAGAGGTTCAGAAATAAAGATTTCTTCAATTAATATTAAAGTTTAAGTTGTATCCAATACAAACGTATTACTGAAATAAAAGCCTGTTCTTATCAAGGATTATTTATTTGTGTAATAAGCTCATAGAAATCTATTCAAAGATTTACGAAATATTGAGTAGCAAGCGTACAAATATATTTATTAACCTTCACAATTATAAAATTGCTATAAACTATGTAGGTACATTGTACAATATTATTACAAAATATGTCTTTATCAGAATACTTCCATCATATTATCATCATTCTACAACTAACATTTATTTGATAAAATCACGAATATTTTACTTATAATTATGAATTTATAATGGAGGCAATAATTCGAAACGCTACGCTATCCGATAACAATGTGTAATAAGTACACATTATATGATTTGTTATAAAAATATCGTAATCGCTACTTAAAAATGCGAGCTCAATTTAACTTTAATTAATTGTGATATTTTTTTTCAGAGCAAGCTTTTCCGGTCTAAATCAAAAGATTTCGAATATGAAGCCTTAGAGGTCCATAATGAATATAGAATTGAACATGGAGTATCCCCTTTAGTTCTTAATAAAGAAATATGTAAAATAAGTCAACAATGGGCTGAAGAGCTAGCAGGGAAGGACACAATGTCCTACAGTATTAATCAAACGTATGGCGAAAGTATTTACTGTGGCTGGTCTTCCGATCCTAATGTTAAAATACGAGCAAAAGATTGCGTGGATAAGTGGTACAGTGAAATCAATGATTTTTCATTTGGAAAGGAACCGGAAATATTAAGTTGTGGTCACTTCACACAAATAGTTTGGAAAAGTACGAGAGAACTTGGGATTGGAAAAGCTAAAAGTGATTCTGGAAAGTTATATGTAGTAGCTAACTATTACCCACCAGGAAACTACACTGGACAGTTTGTAAAGAATGTCCCACCTCCGGGAGCATTGCAATTTCGAAATTCATCAAATTCTAGTTCAATACGAGAATCAAATAGTAGTTCTGTATCTGCGTTTTCGTTTTCCAGAAATAATAGTAATCTATCACCATCATCTCCTAATTCTAGAAGCAGCAAAAATTTTGGAAACCTTGCATCTGAATTAGTAAGCAAATTTAAAACAATTTCAGTATCCAATGAAAAATTTGAAGAAGAGTTCTTACATGCTCATAATGAATACAGAAGTAAACATAGAGCTCCGCCTCTTGAATTGAATAAGAAAATGTGTAAGTACGCTGAAGAGTGGGCTAAAGCTATTGCAAAAAAAGGAATAGTAGAACATAGAGATCAAAATGAATATGGCGAGAACATATTTTACGCTTGGTCTTCTGATCCCAATTTTACACTAACAGGTAAAGATCCAGTTGACAAGTGGTACAGCGAAATAGAAAATCACTCATTCGGCAGAGAACCAGAAAATTTGGGTTCAGGACATTTCTCGCAAATTGTGTGGGCGGATAGTAAAGAAATCGGTGTAGGTGTTGCAAGAACCAAAGAAGGACAAATTTATGTTGTAGCCAATTACTACCCACCAGGCAATGTAATAGGAAGCTTTGCTAGTAAAGTTCTACCGCCTGTAAGTTAGTATAAAATGCCAACCAAAGATATAGACATTCCAAAGAAAATATCTTTTAAGACTATATTATTATACGTATATTTATTCTTTATTTATATGAAATATTGTTAAATCAGGTTGAATATTGAATGTAAAAAAGTTATAGATTTTGTTATTAATTCTTTCAATATACACCCTCTTTGATAATAAACAAAATTAAAATACTTTTATTTTCCAATATAAATAAGTTTTACTTTAATTTACTCAAAGTATTTAAAGCTGGAAAGTTTAATTAGTTCCAAGTATTTGACCTTTAGTTGATTAGGGGTGAGTCGTGGAGGCTACTTACAAAGATGTAGATAAAGCATAAACGATTCGTAGAAGTCTGGTTTCCCTCATTTTGGATAAAAATTTTGCAAAATAACTTTGAAACGTAAGACCAAGTCATAAAATCCAAAGTAAAATGAAAAGAATCTAAATCTAAAAGCGTCGATTTCAAATGAATAAACGAATAATTTTTTGTGTCATATTTTTAGCCTTGATTTTATTTATCGTTATTGATTGAATTAACACATTATTATAATTGAAAATATTGATTTTTATTAAAAACTAGCATTGCCCGCGGCTCTGCCCGCGTTCAGATTACCAAACACCAAATTCATATATATATATAGGTATATAGTATATATATAGTTTTTACATATTAGTAAACTCTTACGTTGCAGTTTTTGTATTTTTTTTCAGAAATGGGATATTTTTCCGCGGTAAAAAGTATCCTATATGTTGACCCGGATAACCAGCTATCATCATATCAAAATTTCATCAAAATCCCTCCAGTGGTTTTTCCGTTATGCGGTAACAGACAGACAGACAGACAGACAGACAAAAATTCTACAACCTATAGATTCGGCCTGTGTCTCGATAATAATGTCTATTTCAATAAGATTTTCCAGAAGATATTTAATGTACAGATTCGGCTTCTATACTATAATCTATCTCTGTGCTAAATTTAATCCAGATCCGTTCACCCGTTGACTTGTCACGTGAAGTTCCGAGTTTCAAAGAGTAACAACTATCCATACTCACAAACTTTCACATTCATAATATTAAATGCGGATTTTTTTCTCTAATACCTCACTAAGAGTCACATGTGTGAGCCCCTGTTCAAAATTATTCCTACTCTGGTAATGTTTGATATAGTTATCAATTACATATATAGAAACTTATCCTCGTTTTTTTTGTGCCTCCCTAAGTGTTTTTTGTATTGATCTACATATACTTATAATATAAAGAAGTAGTTGGTTTGCTTGTTTGTTTGTTTGTTTGTTTGTTTGTTTGTTTGTTTGAACGTATATCATCATGCTATTACCCAAAAGGTCGGAGCAGTAATCATAAATTGTAAGACTATATAATATTATTATATAAATTTCGCTATATAACACAAAATCAAGGAGTTTTTTTTATAGATTGAATGCGAGTGAATCCGCGAGTTCTGCTAATAATGTTATATTGCGATAGCGCCATTTTAGGTATATAAATTATATATGATACTTGGTCTCTGCTGTACTTGTCACATTCATAGACTATGATCTCCATCAGTGTACTTTGTACATAGTAGCTACTATTCTGCGAATACGTTCTATAAATGCTGAAAGAATCCATTTACACTGTCTGAATAAAAACTGTTTAATGTATAAAAGCTAGCTGTAGCATTCAAATTGAAGCATGATAAGGTTACGAGTGCAAACACTCGGGATCGAAAATTAAAGAATTTAACTTGCACTATATCTAGATGTTTTTTTATTCTTTAACAAACACGAAAGTCATTTTTATTAGTTCACGTACACTCGCGGTACAGACACAGTACCGGCTTAATTCAGTCACTGAGCAATATTTTCGACCATAATTTCAATTGCTCATCACGTCACTCCACTTTGCTGCACTTCTGCTTATTTTTCCAAAATTTTTCCTAAATCTTTACTTATCTTTGAATTTCAACTGCACACTACAGATATACTATAAGTTTTAAACACATAATATTAATAATAAACTCTTTATTGTACACCAAGAATAAAAGAAAAATAAATAAACACAGAGTAGAAATGTGCAAGAGGCGGCCTTATCGCTAAAACAGCGATCTCTTCCAGGCAACCTTTAGGTGTAGGAGATAGCGAACTGCAAGAGGGAAGGGGTGTAAATAATAGAGTAAATATATCACAATATATAAAAAAAGTTGACTAGAAAAATGCATAAGTATATATGTTTATACTAATAGATACATATACATATACTTACACAGATACACATGCCTATATATACATATATATTATATATATATATATATATATATATATATATATATATATATATATAATATGTATATAATAGTACTACTAGTGGTTTCACTTGCGTAGCATATTAATGATACATTTTATATTAAACTATAAATTAAAAAAATATACAATTCATTTTTCGTCAATTGATTTAATTTTCCTAATACTGTTATCTATATTATTTTTGGTTTTAAATGCTATTTTTATTACTTTTTAAGTCATATTTTTTTGAATCATTTAGTGGAGGGCGTTAATAATTTATTTATTTATTTATTTATTCAAACAAAATCCACAGCTACATACAAAAAAAAATTGTAAGTACAAAACTAAAACCTTACATAAGCCAATTACGGATTTACATTATTTAGGCAATATAGAAAGGTAGACTAAGTTTACATTTATTTAAGAAAAGGCAAAACAAAAAAAACCATGCATTTATATAAGGAGCAAAACAAAAAATGAGAAAAAAATAATAATAGAAAGAACACTAACAATAATGATACGGCCATTCATTATTTATGACTAATGGTGCGGCTGCGGGTGCGTGTGCGTGTGTGTGTGTTCGTGTGTGTTTGTGTATGTTCGTGTGTGTTCGTGTGTGTTGTGTGTGCGCACATATGTGCGTGTGTTATTTATTAAGTTCGTTAATGATAGCTTTCTTAAATCTTCCTCTAGAATTACTAAATGGATCAACATTACAGAAATATTTATTATACTGTTGAGGCAGTCTATGAGTTACTGAGTTTCTACTGTAGTTAGAACGATGACAAGGTACATGAAATAAATTAGTGTGCCTTGTGCGCCTTTGAGGGGTACACAATTGCAAGGTTTCTGTAATAAGATAAGGATTATCTATGTTTCCATTACAAATGTCATACAACAGCATCATGTCGGTCATAGTTCTACGTCTTTCTAAAGTGGTCATTTTATAATGTAAGCAAGATGCAATATAGTCGGTTTTAAGTTCTTTAGTACGATAGTTAAGATAGCGTATAAATTTCCTCTGAATCTTTTCAATTGTCTCAATGTGTTAATAATGTTTATTAACTTCTGCGTTTCTTATTATTTCAAACTTTTTTTGCTATTTTGGTATATACTAAAATTTCTACAAAAGTCTTCAAAATTATATCCTAAAGGCGACTCACTCTCGCTTTGCTCGTATTCGTCCCCAGCTTGCTTCCCAATACAAACTTTCATCCCCATTTTCACCCCCTTAAGTTAAGGGATAAAAAATTCTATGTTCTTCACAGGGTCTCAAACTATCTTCTTACCAAATTTTATCTAAATCGGTTCAGTAGATCCAGAGATTACCCCCTACAACGTCAAAAACTCACAAACCTTACTTCTTTAAAATATATTAATATTAATATTAGTATAGATGTGTTACTCTGACTTATAAACTTACTGTAAAGTTTTATCAAAATATATTAACAAAGGTTTAGTAGTTTCTGCGTAAAAAAGTAACAAACATACATACATCCATAGATCTGACAAAAACTTTCACGTTTTTTATTTTAGTAGTACTTGTTAGACGTGCTGACTATTCAGCCCAGTAATGTATTCTATAACAGCTGTGCATACCTTTATAGTACTAGGCTCTACAAGAAAGTGAGCACATCTGCTGTAAAGCTCTTCAATCATCGAGCATTGAAAAATAATCAGCCTCTTATACTCGTATCTCCAAGTGCGCACGGAGTTTACTAAGATACGCACTTGTACATATCAACAATCGTTTGCCTTTTAATATTAAATATAGTATAATAGTTAATTTGCTTCTCCTATAAAGGTACATAATTGTTATTAAGATGCCAAAAAATCCTAATAATAATATGAGAATGCTGATTACATTCTACGTGATATTGGCGAAGCAATCTGTGCTCAACCGACACGTTTGGCTCAGTTTGTAGTGAGCTTACTTGCGGTGCCAGCGACCGCTGGTTCGAGTCTCGCTGGGGGCATTCATTTGTGTGATGAGCGCGACTCCAGCCATACTCCAGTCATGGGTGTTTATATTAATAATATGTATGTAGTTAAAGTTATATATGTGTATCAAATATCTGGTATCCATAACACAAGCCTCGTAGCTTGCCATGGAACTTGATGGTACTGTGTTAATGTTTTATTTATTTAAAAATCGGCACTTTTTAAAGCCATTAAGCTATTACCAAGAAAATTGAATTGAGATTAAGAAAAAAAATTGACTTTCTTTGTTTAAGAATCCTCTACCTATAAACAAGACTTTTATCAGACGCAGCTTAAAAAAAATAACAATGCCAACTTCCATAGAAAAATTTGAACCTTTTCTTGTAGATTCTTGTACATACAAATAAAAGATATTCAACATTCGCATTAAACTTTTAAAATTTTATAATACAAGATGCAAGATTACCAATAAGCTATTCTATTTCACGCTTTGCATTCAATATTTAACTTTCAGTAGAATTGAACTCGTGTTGTATAACAAACAGAATTGTTCACAATACAATAGCCCGTATTGTACGATACAAGTTGAAATGGCGTGATTTATAAAATTATATTTTGCAATTTAATCATTTCTGAAGTTGCTTTTTCACAGTTATAAATTAAAAAGGCGATGGATTTTATTTTGATTTTGTGGTTTATTTTATTCGTGAGTTTTTTAACGCCGTTTTTTATTTATACTGTTATTTCGTAGTGTCAGTAGTTTAGCACCGAGAATATATATTTATTTTTTACTGTCTCAGTGGTCTAGTATAGTGGTATAGTAGTAGACATCATAGTAGTAGCATGTACGGCTGCAGATCCGGAGGTCCTCGATTCGAGTCCCAGGTTTGGCCAAGTTTAGTTATTGAGTCTTTTTGTGAAGAAAGTCTCAGTAACAGCCCGGAGTCTGACTGCGTCGTGGTGTGTCGTATCGAATTATCTACCCACAGAATTTGTCGGATTGGTCGAATTTCAACCACTGAGCTAACATTTAAAATTATATTTAATTACTAATTAGGTTCTAACTAATTTGTTAATTTAAACAAAATTGAATGAACGTCATGAAAAGCAGTGGTGTATATTTTTTTATTTCTTATATTTAGATAGGTAATATAATAATATTCTTATATTTTTAACTGTTAGTTACTTTACTCATATTATAGTAATATTCAGACGATGATAATTAAAATAGCTTTCAAAAATCTATATCTGAATCGGCAAAAGACAATTCCATTTTCTCCTCTGTCAATCGATTTTTTTTTTCTTTCGAAAAAAAAGCTTTTGAGATATCAATAAAAAATTGTAAACAGTATTTTTTTATAATAATAATTTTCCATTTTCAATAATTATTATTATTGAATTTCGGCTACTAGGCGAATACTATTCTATGAAGTAATTATTTTCCAATTATTCTTCTAGAATAATATTGTTCCATCACCAGCGAGAAACAAATTTGCAAAGGATATAGAAACACTTCTTCATCTACTGAAAGTAAGTAACACTTTGCTCCTAACTTAGATATTAATATTGAAGTTAGCTTGTTTTTAATACTTCAGATGGTATGAAATTCTAACAGTTCAGAACATGATATGAACTTACAAAGAAGCAATCATTTATGTATTGATAGAATAATATTATAATACTTTCTTAGAATAATACCACTTTAGTTATTACTAAAGTATAATAATAAGTGCTACTAGTGTAGTTGATTATATATTATTAAAATTGTTTTTAACCAATTATAAAAAAGGAAAAGGTTCTTTAGAATTTACTATTGAATTGAATTTAATTTTACTTTAAAAAAAGATATCAAGTTAATATTAGTCCTGCTGAGTTTCTTTCGCCAGTTCTTCTCAGGTCTGAGGCTTCTTCTTTCCGAACTGGTAGTAGACTCATGACGTTCAGTAAAAAATTGTAATAATTTAATGCTGAATAAAATATTTTGAATTTTGAATTTTTGAATAAAACGAAATGTGTTATGATTGTTAATGTATCGTTAAAAGTGAAATGGCGGACGTGCATTACATAGCAAAGCAATAAATGTAAAAGATTCCTTCCACTCTAGAAAACACGCTACACCGCACCAACGGCCGGAAGTTGTTTTGCTTCAGTTTTCTAAATTTTATGTTGCAAAATATATAGACAAAAAACTATGGAGCTATAGATTAATATAGGGCCTAAAATGTATAGGGCTATAAATTAATAATATTATTTGCCCTATTATAATATGTATTGTACAATGTACATATTCTAGTAGCGACTTAGTCTCACTTCGCTCATGTGACTCTCTAGGTGCCTAAAAGTATATAATTCAGAATAGATTTCTCAAAAATTTAATTAATTTCTTAGAAATTTACCTGGAGATGGTGTACTAAATTTTAGTTAAAAACATACACACAAAGCCATACAAACTTTCGCATTTGTATTAATAACGTGAAAAAGCGGCAAATAATCTTCTTCTCCCTTCATTGATCTTGTTAAGTTAAAATAAAAATTCATTCCATAAGGGGATAAAATAGGGGATGAAAGTTTGTATGAAACCATTCATCAACCTTTTTAGTTCTTTTTTTTGTAGTTTTAGCGCGAGCGAAGCCGCGGGTTCTGCTAGTAGTATGTAAATATAATCAGCCCAACCGTTCTCAAGTGATGTGCTTACCAATGAACATTTCATTTTTATTTATGGGAAGATAAGAGGATAAAAGGATTTCCCAAATATTTTTTTACCCTCTTTATAAGTACTTGGAATAGATCTTAATAAATAAAAGTAAATTATCAAGTGTACTTACTTGCTAATTTAGTCACGAAAGGTCTAACCGAGTTATGAAACCGTTGTACGTTGAAATAATTTCAAGGAGACTTTCACGAAAAGCTGATATTTTTATCTTTAACAAGAGAACAAAAGAACATAATATCTTATTTAATACGATAATGATGATAATTTCAATAAAAAAAACCTTTTTTTAACGTTGGGAAATACATTTAGGCACGAAGTGTGAGACAAGGTGAATGCAGGTGTTGTAGGGGTCATTAAGAAACCTACAGCGCAAGAACATTTTAATGAACACAGGATGGAATTATTTCATGAAAAGCCTTCAAGCATACATATTAATATAAAGAGCACTTTAAAATAGGCTCACATCGCGTAACACACATAAATACATGCACGCATGCACGCACGCATGCACACACGCATGCACGCACGCATGCACGCACGCATGCACACATGCATGCACGCACGCATGCACACATGCATGCACGCACGCATGCACGCACGCATACAGGCACGCACATGCCTTAAACCCTAGTGATGCACCTGCATATACCCAAGCGAATCTAGTGTAAGTTGCTAGTTATATTAAAATAAAATAAAGAGTGCATTAAACACAAAAAGCTAATTTTATGATGTGATTTTCCTCACTAGAGATACGAATTTGACATTATTTATCTCAAGTCAAATGTCTGTCTTTGGTAAGAAAAACCAGTCACTGTGGATTAAAAATTCATAATTGCGAGAAAAAATCTAACAGAAATATCACAAACTGTTAAATAATGTTTCAAGCCCATTTAAACAATTTTAATTTTATGTACAAATGCTTGAACAGCTCATGAACGTACGTACGTAGCGATGACGCTAAAGTGAATATCCATGTAACGGGCAAATCCTTTTACTGTACTTGTTTCTATTACTTTGCTACTAAGAGTATAGGTACAGGCATTAATTTAAATAGTTCTTCTAGAAATTTTAACTAGATTTCGGTGCTATGTACGAGTATTTTTTTTCTTATCAGCACACCCTCGCTTTGCTCAGGTCCGCCTCTAGAAAAATAAAAACAAATCTATCCCTCGGGAACCGTATATTTTTGCGGGAAAAAGTAGCCTATGTGTTATTCCAAACTATAATCTATCTCTGTGCTAAATGTCATCCAGATCCATTAAGCCGTTCTGGCGTGATTGACTAACAAACATCCAAACATCCATCTACATTTTCACATTTATAATATTTACAAAACAAGTTGATAATATATACAAAACAAAATGTACACTTAATTATTGCTGTAGAAGTCATGTCCGCGTGGTATAGTGGCAAGAACGCTAGCTGCATTCCCTCGCTGAATGGCAATGCCGATTCTTTGGGTGAAAAACGAGCTCTCCTGTCACCAGTGGAGGCTATAAGATAAAAGTTATGTCTTTTAAGAAGTGTTTAGCACTTTGACTCTAGGGGCCAAGGGTTTCTCCCCACCAACGTGCGTTCACCTTGTCGTGGTGGGGGGGCTCAGTAGTGCCCGGCATTACAGCCGAGCGCGAAGCCAAGAAACGCACAGGGAGGTGGCCCACTTCGGTGGGCGGTGGGAGACGGCCCTCTTCGGAGGGCGGTGAACCATGCGGGTTGCTCCTGGTACTTCTCTGATAGTAGAGTGGACCTTGGAGCAACCCCGTGGTTGTTGTGGTCTGCTTCGGCAGACCTGCCGTCGGGGCGTCTTAGTTGAATGCGTAAGCGATCCTGCGATGCCCCATTAAGACGGGGGAAGGCTTTGTTGGGTTTTAGCAGGTAGTACTGGCTTTGCCGGTGAGTCCCACGTCGTGCGTAAATGCATTTCCCAACGTTAAAAAAGGGGCCAAGGGTTTCTGCAGCAAAAACTACAAAAGAGTAGTCTCATAATAGTACTTAACTGCTCAAACTATTACTACTAATCACTAATTAATTTTTGTCACGACACGTTTGGCTCAATTTGTAGTGACTCTACGTGCAGTGCCGACGGTCGCGGGTTCGAGTCCCGCTGGGGGCATTCATTTGTGTGATGAGCACAAATGTTTGTAGGTACTCCAGTCATTGGTGTTTATATTTATAATATGTATGTATTTATAAAGTTATATATGTGTAGTGTATCAACTATCTGGTATCCATAACACAAGCCTCGTAGCTTACCATGGAACTAGACGGTGCTATGTATTAATGTCCCAAAAAATATATATATATATATATAGTACTAACTATTATAATTATCGGCACTGAGCGAAAGATAACTAACTCACTATAAAAGACTATTAAACGAAAATAATTTAGTTACTACATCATATTATGGAGTCTTATCAGGGAGAAAACTGTATTTTAAATCAATTAAGCTTTATTTAATCAGTTTTAATCACACTTTATAATAACTTTTAATGCGCTAAAATATTTTACAAAATTTCATTATAACTATATTAATGTAATCGTGGCGTGCCTAATTTTACTATATTCAAAGGCAGCTAGTTTATGGTCCATACACCATATTTGTACAAAAAATCACGTCAATCAACAATATGGTAGGCAGACCAAACGAGACTTATTTTTGACATTTGTAATAATAATATTTTCTTACTACTACTATTTACTCGAATATTTGACGTTTAAAATAAAACTATCTTTTAAACAACAAAACAAACATATAATAACTCTTGAGATATCTACAATATTAACCTCTAACGTGAGTACTTTTGCTGTACAGTATTCGAAACCAAAAATCTAAATTAATCCGTTAAAAAATCCGAAAAAATAATTTTATTATAAAATTTATTAATAATATTATATTTGTAAGGATTCAATAGTAACAATAACTGTAATATTATATTATAAATAAAAAATAGGCAATCCCATTTCATAAAAACAATATTTGTTATTATTTAAATAATTATGTTTTAAGTAAAAGACACACCGACTCATAAATTACTTAAAAGTATGAATTATTCCACTCTAGGGGTAGATATATTTACCCTTGAATTAGGTATGGCCATTATGTTAAAAAATCTTGAAAATCGTGTTTATTTTAAAGTCAAAATTGTGTATATTTAGTTCAGAACTAATATAAAAATATTCGCTAACCTTTACAATCATTATGCAACAGAGAAGAAGCGTTATGTCCAGTGAAGAAGACATTCTCGATGTGCCAAAATCACTAGAAGATTTACCAGCAGCAGAACCTATACATCCAGGTCATACATTATTGCAGCCGAGCTTTAAAATGTTGAAGTCGCAAATAAAATATCCACAAAAGCGAGTCAGTGCACTTGTGTATGGGAATTTGGATAATCTTGGTATAACGTGAGTTTTTAAAATATTTTTAAATTTTCCTTTATATATTCAAATATGGCACAAATAAATAAGAATAATATTATAATTGTATAATATTATAAGTGCCCAGCAGTGGGATTTAAATATTATAATTTATACGAAAGATTGTGTGCGTGCGTGTGTGAGCAAGGTAAGTTGTGCGTAACGTTCAATCTATATATTAATACGTGAAGCAAAAACTTTGTACCCCTTTTTACGAAAATTGCGCGGACGGAAGAGTATGAAATTTCCCACACTTATAGTTTATATATGGAAGGAGTGCAGAATGCAAAAAATTTTTGAATTATGCATATGCAAAAATACATTAAATCAATAAAAAAAACATTACACACACTACTATATATTTGACACACACACGCATAATATATACTCTTTTGTTATTATTAAAGTCTGTGGTTAAATTGAGAATAGAACCTCAATCTATCAAAGTTAAGGAATTATGGTAGATTTTCAACCACGCGGCGATCACTAGTAATAATAATTTCGTCTTAAACAATTTCGACAAAATCTGCCATAGAGATTATTTAGTGCACAGGAAGTATGAGGATTGAGAGTACTCCCAAATGCACTTTCCATTCCTTGTGCTCGCAAGATCTACCACGACTATTCTACACGTCGGGGGAGAGAAAAGTGTAAAACCACTGGCTTTATGTTCTTCCTCAAGCCTAGGGGCGGAACACCGCCAATTTATTTCATTGAATAGGCTTTTAATGAGAAATCTTGGGTGAACCTATTTTTGGCCTGACCGGGTACTATTTAAACCTCATGATTTCTATCCATAGATTAAATTGTTCTAAAGTTTTTATTATTTTATATAAAAATAGCCATCATGTAGGCATCATTAGAGGCGATATCAAGGCACTAAAAGGCCCTATCTGGAAATTTACTTTCTACTACTATATATGAACTTAATATTTTAGATACGGTAACACAAATCAAAGGATATTATACACGGATTTCAGAAAATCTAATGACTTGGTAAGTTTAAATTAATAAATTTTATCAGAAGCTCACGGTCAAGAGAATTATAATTATTATTCATATTAATTATTCATATTAAATTATCGTATTTAACAATCGCTTCCGTTCACTAGTCCACCAATCCGCACTTGGCTACCGTGGTGAACTATGATCTGATCCCCCTCGTATTGAAGGGGGGCCCTTGCCCAGCAGTGGGACTTTAAAAAAAGGGCTGAATATATTCATACAATAATCGCTTCGAAATTAGCCTTTCTGTTTTAATTCTAGCTTTCACGTAAAAGCCTATGCCACTGTTACGGTAATTTGATATCATCGAATTGACTTGATGATGGCGGCAAATGGTATATAGGATAACTCTTCAATGGCTACTAGTAAAACTATCTAGCTTGGGCTTGTTCAATTTGATTTAACATGTACACTGCAGTTCATCATTCATATTAATATTATAAATGTAAAATAGGGAAAATTGGGGAATTTGTTCCAGGCTATTTTTATGTAAAATAAACTGGGGAATTTGCTCGAGGCTATTTTTAATTAAAAAACCTCTAGTCTGGAGATGTTTTGATATAACAAGCCTATATTATAAAATTTGTAATAAAATTATTATATTTTGATACTCGGTTGGTTCCGAAAAATACGACCCGATAAGGTGAAATTTTTATTTAGTACAGAATGATCCTAGTAAACCAACTCACAATTAGAAAAATGTGGGCAAGCAATCTTAAAGAAGTTAAGAATCCATACTAATATTATAAATATGAAAGTGTGTTTGGTTGTTTGTTTGATTATTATCCTTCTTTCACGTCAAAACGGAGTGACCGATTGGCGTATATTTTTGTGGAGATAGTTAGTGGGCTGGAGAGTGACACAGACTACTTTTTACGTGGGAGATCATCTCATTCCCACGAGAAAACACGTTATAATATAATCCAAAAATTTATTTCTGATCTGAATCCATCGTATAAGGGGGTTAAGTAGGAGATATAAGTTTGTATGAAACTACCTTTCTAGAGATTTTTTGCAGTTTTAGCGCGGGTTCTGCTAGTATTATTTAAATAATTATTTGAACTTAAAATTAAACAGGCAAACAAACTGCTTCATGCCATAAATGAAGTCAGAGAAAAAAATTATGAGAGGTAAGATATTAAATATATATTATCTATACTTTTGTTTGTTTGTTTGTTAGTTTATTTGCTTGTAATGGATAGGCTCCGAAACTACTAGACCGATTTAGATGAAATTAGGTAAGAATATAGTTTGAGAAGTTCTGGGAAGGACATAGAATAATTTTTATCCCGTGAAATTATCTCTTAAGAGGGTGAAAATGATGATGAAATTTTGTATGGGGAGTCAACATAGCGACTCACCCTTGCTTTGCTTGGGTTTGTCGCTATGTTGACTCCCCGCAAAAGCGACAAACCCGAGCGAAGCAAGGGTGAGTCGCTAGTCCTATAATAATTTTAAAAGTATATGCTATTTAGTTTTGTATCTGCGTATTTTTGAGTACAAAATGTTTTTTAGATCGGTTAACCAGTTGCATTCGGACTACTGTTTTAAATACCAAAATTTTTATGTACGTTTGTTACTTTTTAACTATAAAACGGCTGGACATATTTAAATGAAATTTAGTACATTATGTAAATAGAATATAACCTGAAATAACTCATAGACTGAGACTAGACAACGAAAGGTACCCAAGGGCGTACCCGAGCGCAGCGAGACTAAATCATTTGTACACAGACAGATAGACAATAAAAGTCTCTTTTTGATGATTAATTATTATTATATAACGAATTCCCAATTGTATTCTCAATTATATTAGTAACATATTATTAATTTCAGAAAACCGCCTATGGTAACTCATCATAAGCTTATTATTATTGTTTCTTATATTAATTCTTACATAATTTATCACTGTCTGTTACTTATGGCTTAGCTAAGTTAGCTTAATACCATCTTTATGACTGAGAAAAAGCAAAAAATATCTAATATGGAAAAGATGTTATTAAAGAACTTAAATATGTTATTTTCGGCCAAGTAAAATAAGTTTCTACATTATTTTACTATCAAAATAGATGTGATATATTTATGTACATATATGCTGCTTAAGCTGTCTCGTCCTGGGTTCGATCCCCGGTGCTAAGTTTTTGAAAAAGATTTTTTTTATAAAAGCATACTCGTACTTCATATCGTTTATACTCGTTATTTTAACTATAGGATTAACTGAAAATAAATGACTTATAAAAGAAATAAAAAAAATGCGTGAATTAAGATTAATTTCAGAAACTCCTTATTTCAATAGATCAATAGATTATTTTAAAAATTAATATTTTTTCAGTATTTTTAGTATATGAATTAAGTTCTTACCTAAGTGCGGCCAAGCCCAAAGGAGTGTTATGTGTTTGACCTGTATGTATATATGTAAAAACTCGTAGAAATAAGCTACAAAACAAGTATGTCTCTGACCTTATAATAACTACGTTCCTTCGTTATCTTTCCATCTTTTTAGTTCGCTTTTCACGCAGTCGGTTTTTATATTATTTTCTTTTATTAAATTTAGTTTTAGTTATATTTTTAATGTAATTTTATATTTACAGATAATTATTAAAGTAGATACAACAAGTTTTGATTTATCACAGTAAGTATTTTTTACCAATAATTATATTTATTTTTATTTATTAATGTAAGATAAAATATATGTTATATAAAATAAAGTAACAAAATGTTGACAAAGGATAACCTATCTCTTTAAGAGATTTCTTATATATTAGATCTATCGATGTAAATAAAAATGAATGTTTATTTGTATGACTGTAAGCTATCTATATCTAAACCATTCTTCCAATCATGATAAAATTTTAGTAAGGTATTCTGTGTACGTCTGTGAAGATTCCTGGCCCAAAAAAGAATTATTCTGTGTATGTTTGTCCTCTATGAGCTCCTAAACTGTTTATCCATAGGGACGCATCTGAGCGAACCAGGGGTTAGCCGTATGGTATAACATATTTCTTATTGTCACACTTGTATTCATCACTTTTTAACGTCCCACTGCTGGGCACGGGCCTCCCTTCAGTACGAGGGGAATCAGACCAAAATCCACCACGCTGGCCAAGTGCGGGTTGGCGGATTCACATGTCTTTTGAAAACTTTCTAGGTTCTCTCAGACATGCAGGTTTCCTCACGATGTTTTTCTTCACCGTTAAGACAAGTGGTAATCATGTTAGAAATGATTAGCACATGAAAATATCAGAGGTGCGAGACCCGGGATTTGAACTCGCTTTACTCGGTTTCCCAAGCGAGCGCGTTACCACTGGGCTACCACTGCCTTCATACTTTTCACACTTATCGCACAATTATTTTCATTTAAAGATTGTATATAAAGGAGGTAGCGAGTTCGATTTCAGCACGAATATGCATAAACTAACAAACTAATAACTAATAAATCATAATTCGTTTAGTAGAAAGTGTACACATACAAATTCTTGTGCGTCATATAACTAATACCTTGCGTAGATACATTATTTATGTTATTCTAAGTAAAGTTTGCTGCATTGACCGAAAAATGAAAAGTAAAGGAAAATATTCTTTAACTTCCATCTATGTACATATACTTACATAATTATACTGCAATAGAATAAATGATTTACTCAATGTCCTTATTGTATAGAAATTCAGAAAATTATCCAGAGGTATGTAAAGTTAAATTTTGCTCTAAATGATTTAGTCCTCCCCCTTTTACTCGTAAATTATTTATTTTTAATACTTAGAATTGTTTGAAATGCCTTGCGATGCTAAGACTAAATAAGGCAGAAAAACCCCGTCCGTAACAATTAATTTAATGGTTTTAATATTGTTATTAATATTACATGCTAAGAAATCACTTCAAGAATTTCAGAACACCGGATGCGAATCTGCACTTCCGGTGTAACATGTCAGAGTACTTCCTCCTTGAAGTGAAATTATAGACGTGTCTATTATATCGGATGAAGGCTTCATTTTTTTTTAAATCCTAAGTTAATATTAGTTAATATTACTTTAGTTTTCATCTGTTTTGAAATAGTAATATTTATTATATCAAAATAACTTTGATTTTTTTTAATTTTGTACAGGTAGCAGAAATTGAAAATAATGCCAACGAAATATTAGATGAGTAAGTTTGAAAAAATATCAAAATTATAGTCATACACTTAATAAATAATATCTTAGCATTCATATAAAAAAGTATAGAAAAACAAAAATATAGAAGGTCCAAGTTAGCAGTATTAAAAATTATTGTAGGCAGATAGGTATAACAAAGTTTTATTTTTATTTTATTTTTTTAAATAGCTATGTAAGTACGTACTTTAAAATGAAATTAGTAGCTCATCAAGTTTTAAGTAAAATATTGTATCCAGGAAAGTTAAATTTTGGGCTGATTTTAAACTAAGTTTATTAATTATTGATGTTCAGCTTCAACTTGGCCCGACTTTTACATCCAATTTAAACTCCAATAAATCTTTCGTTGTGGTTATCTTCTTGTCCAGTGACTTTGTATGAATGTTGATTAGATTAATCAAGTAACTTGAAGTTCAAGTGTATTTATAAGTTCTAGTTCGTCTAATTGTGAAATTTGAGGAAAACATGATATATGCATAGAATTTACCTATCTACATATATAATAAAATAAACTATAATAAAAAAAATGATACTCTAAAGCTCGTTATTATATACTAAACAAAAAAAAATCGGTTGACCGGATTGATTTTGTCCTGCCTATTAATATATAGATAAATTATTAAAACTCCAGCGTATCGCCATTTTTTTTTCAAACTTGGCTGATGTATTGTCCTATATAACATTTTGTTTTAAATTTATGATTTTCCTTATTAATGATAATTAAGTAGAGAGGAAATGCAATGACCCAACCCGTATTTAATTCCGGCAATATTATCACATTGTGTGTTGAGTCGATTGCTAACGCCAAGCAGAACAATTCGCTTTACACAGACATCGGACTTAGAAAAAGTGGAGAAGTAAATAATTTAAATACAAACTCCGTAACTTTATTTCCATACAATACGAAGCGTCTGAAGTAAGATTTTAGAGAATATGGCCTATTGTTTTTTTTTAATATTCGGACTCTTTATATTTGAACTATTCTACTTTAGTCTGTAATATATAATTTTTTTAATAAATTTGAGGTTTATTTAAAAAAAATGAATTATAATCACATAGATTACTCTCTTTCCAGCCCTAAAGATATCGTACGAGATGATTCAGTAAGTTTATTTAAATTCAATGAACCATTTTTTACTGACGTTACAACAAGTTGGTATAATAAAATCTATTTTTTCTAACACAACATTTCTTTTACATGGTCTTTTACATGATATAAAAACTTAGATTTACACAAAAATTGATACAATATACCGTTAAGGAGACTACCATTATACTTATATTATTATACTTGCGTGAATGCTTGTTTTTTCATCACGTTGGAACAGCTTTACGGATTTAGATGAAGTACACTGCTATACTATGACCTGGAATAATTTGTTAGGGATCTAGAGATGCGCCCGAGTGAAGCAAAAGTACCATTTTCTTAGATTTACGCGAATATTTGATATTATAAATAAAACTGTCTTTTCGGTTTTTTTCGCGGATTTATTTTGATTTTTGGTTCCCGATATTTAGAATGCTTTACAGAAATCATGGTCACGGGATAGGCTAAGGTTTTAGACGTTTCAAAGGTATATATACTTGTGCACACTTTAAACAGACAGTGCATACCCACAATTGGTAAGCATTTAAACGTCCGAAACCAAAAATCTAAATAAATCCTCAGAAAAATCTGAAAAGATAGTTTTATTTAAAACTAGCGGCTCACCCTCGCTTCGCTCGGGTTCGCCTCTATAAAAACACTAATAGAAATCTATTAGTTCCCACGGGAACCGTTCATTTTTCCCGGATGAAAAGGAACCTGTTGTTTGACCGGCAATATAAGGTATCAGAATGTTAAATTTTACTAAATTAGGTGCATAAGTTGTATAAGTTATAATAGTTTTTTAAGTATCCCACGGGAACCATTTAATTTTCCGGGATAAAAAATATCTAAGACGTTGTCCGGGGATATAAAGTACCACCATGCAAAATTTCATTTAAATCGGTCCAATAGATTCGGAGATTAGCCCGTACAAACAGACAGACAGAGAAACAAAAAAATCTGGATTTCTTCTATTTGTCTTCTTACATCCCCCTGATTCGCGATGGCTTATTATTAGCGTATTTCATGTATAACTTTGGTGTTTCTATACCGATTTCTATGATTCTTTTTATGGAATAGTTAATAATGTTAACTTTTCTAATTAGGGATGACTGAGAGTGTTATAAACGTAAGAGTAGACAAATATAAATCAGAAAGCTTCGAACTGCTAAGCTATCGGGAGTTACACGTGTTATTCTGAGTCAACCATAAAAGATAGACATATGCTGTCGTGGGATATTTTTTATATAATTTTAAGGAGAACATTTCCGTCACACATGATTTCTGTGTAGCTTTAACCATTAGGTTGCACACGCGACGGAAGCTTAAAAAATGGAGTAACTTGTCTTCTTTTCCCAACATTTCCCTTCACTGCTCTGCTCCTATTGATTGTAGCGTGATGAAAAGTATACTTTAACCAGCTCAGGAGTATGAAAAATAATTGTACCAAGTTTCGTTAAAATCCGTCGAGTAGTTTTTGTTTCTATAACGGTTATACAGACAGACAGACAGACAGACAGACAGACAGACAGACAAAAATTTTACTGATTGCATTTTTGGCATCAGTATCGATTCCTTATCACCCCCTGATAGTTATTTTGGAAATATATTTCATGTCCAGAATTGACCTCTCTACAGATTTATTATAAGTATATAGACAATAGTAATACGTTAGTTTTTAATAATCTTAAGTGGTATTATAATTTTAAACTTAGTAAAAAATGCATTAAATAAATTAAAAGCTTTATTTTGTGGCGTCGCTGGTGATATATGAGACCTTTTCATCTAATCAAGCTGAGTAATTCAACCAATTAATTAGTATCGCGTGAGGACAGGCTTTATCTCTATTCTAATTCAGGAAAGCAGTCGTAATTTAAATTAGCAGCATTAATTTTATGTAAATTTAAGAATTCTTGCATTGTATCTGTAATTAAAATTATGAAACAATATGGCTCTTTGCTCTGACTTCGAGCTAAGTAACCAATGAACCGACAAATATATTTACATTTATAATATTAATAAAAAAAATATTATTTAATTCTACGTGAATAGATAGAAACACGAAGAAAAAGTAAAAAGGTAAAAAGTAGTTTTAGACACCGTGACTTGTCTTTCGAGAGGGCCAATTCAGAAAGTTTCTCAGCGTCCTCTTCTGACTACGAAAAGAATCCTGGTAACCCCTACACCGTAGAGAACGATAAATACAAACAAAACTGGCTGTGGAACCATTTTGTAAGTAATTATATAACTGTTAAAATATCTTTCTATTCCTATTCTTTTTTTCAAGCCTGCAAAATATTGCTATCTAAAAATAAAGTTTTAAAATTGTAGTAATAGTTATTTATTATATTAGTACATGAAATATTTTAAAAAGTAAAGTGAGAATGCACATTTTGAAGCTCTATTAAGTTTTTTTTATACTAAGTTTGAAAAAGACAGTTGCAAAAATTTTTGCACCTTCATTTTTATTAAATCTTTTCAGAAAGTTTAAATATAATATCTCAAAAATATACATAACTATTAAATTATGAATTAAAAAATCTACACTTAAGTGGCATAATTCATTACTGACAGTGGTACCAACCATGTACTTAATAAGTAATTATTTTGTAGATGGATGGTGACCACATGAACGTAAATCCATACGCACCACCCTTCGTCAGTGTTGGACCATCTGGAGCATCTTTATTCTTTGGCAGAAAATGGTGGTATTTTAATCAAGTGGGTAGTAATTAATTAATTATTTAATTATATAACAAATTGGCAGTGGCAGCCCAGTGGTAACGCGCTCGCTCGGGAAACCGAGTGAAGCCGGTTCAAATGCGGGTCTCACAGCTCTGATATTTTCATGTCTGAATTATTTCCAACATAATCACCACTTGCCTTACGGTGAAGGAAAATATCCTTTGCTTTTTTTCGCCGGAGCTTCGAATGCGAGGCACGTCAACAAAATGTTGCATAAGTGCTCCAGGATATAAGCTAGCTCTTTTACAAACACTCAAATCTGTTGACCTCTTTCAGCGCGAAGAAGTACATAACTGAGATAAACTCATAAAACTTTCGTATTAGATAAGTGTGAGCAGGATAATAATTTAATAGGGATAGATAATGTACCATATAGGATAAGAAAGCTCCATTTTATATAAAACAGCTTTAAAAATGTTTAGGTCTAACAGGTTTTTATTAACGTTGATGTTTTATTTAATCATCCAGGTGATGTTAAATATGAACGACATTTTAAATAACCATTGCTACTACCTTTCTTTTCGGATTATGTGACTCCAGTGACCATATATGCTTCAAAGCATCTGAAACGTCTGAAACTAAAATATATATATATATATATATATATATATATATATATATATATATATATATATATATAATAAAATTGTAACTAAGCCGAATCTGTACATTAAATATTTTTTTGGAAAATCTTATTGAAATAAACATTATATTATCGATACAGAGGCCGAATCTATAGTTTTTTGAATTTTTGTCTGTCTGTCTGTCTGTTACCGCATCACAGAAAAACCACTGGAGGGATTTTGATGAAATTTGGTACGGTGAGAGCTAGTTATCCAGGTCAACATATAGGATACTTTTAACGGCGGAAAAATGTCTAATTTCTGAGAAAAAATACAAAAACTGCAATATAAGAGTATACTAGTATGTAAAACCTGAGAATTTGGTTTTTGGTCATCTGAACGCGGGCAATGCTAGTATAAAATAAAACTACGACAAAACCCGAATATATATCATTACTTTTCGATTTAATGGAGTCAACACCTTAAATACGAGGAATTTATTTCTAGCTTGTAAATAATGGAAAAATAATAATGCTGAGTCACAGATTAGATTTTAAATTACATACATATATTAAAAACTTTATAATATTTTTTTCTAATTTAATATTCTTTGTAATGTGTATTTCTTTCAGGACGACTTCAAACCTCTCAATTAACGATAAAAATAAATGAATAAAGCCATAAAATTGTTTTAGTTTTCCTTATATTACTTTTATACGATTTTAATCAAGTTTTTACAGTTCAACAATCCATCAAATGTAAAACATCATGAGGAAACCTGCATGTCTGAGAGAACCTAGCAAGTTTTCAAAAGACATGTGAAGTCCGCCAACCCGCACTTGACCATCGTGGTGGACTATAGCCTGATTCCCCTCGTATTGAAGGGAGGCCCGTACCCAGCAGTGGGACATTAAAAAGGGCATGCATACAAATATAGTATTGATTGATGTATTATTTACTTTATGTCTATTTGCACGAAATTTTACTTTTTGAAGAATTAAAAAAAAATTAAAAGAAGTGGTATCCCAGTGGTAACTCGCTTGCTTGGGAAACGAAGTGAAGAAGGTTCAAATCCCGGTTCTCGAATCTCACTAAGTGAACAGGTCTCGCACCTCTGATATTTTCAAGCACGAATAATTTCAACTTGATTACCGACAGCTGGTATTTACTACGGTGAAGTAAAAAATCGTGAGGAAAACTGCATGTCTGAGAGAATCTAGCAAGCCCGCACTTGGCCAGCGTGGTGGACTATGGCCTGATCGCCCTCAAATTGAAGGGAGACCTTCCCTTGAGCGCAGCAGTGGAACAATGAACATTAAAAAGGGCTGGATACATACATTTGCTTGTTTCTCTTTCCTTTCTTGCTTTATCGTCATAACATAACCCTACACCGAATAAGAATCTTGGGCTATGATAATATATATAAAAATTACAGTAACGGAAAAAAATTAAAGAGGTTTTTTTTTTGTAATTTCATTTTATCTGTTATTCAATAATGCTATAAATGTTAAAGTTTGTGAGGAAGTATGGATGCTTATGACACAATCAAGCGCAAGTATTGAGTGGGCTTGGATTTAAATTTTAAATTTTCATGCAGGTAGATCATGTCCTATCCTAAAATATAGGATACTATTTTATCTCGGTGATGAATTTCTGACTGATGTAGCTTAACTTCAATTATATATTAATAAAACTAATTTTTAAAATTTTAAATTAATAAATAGCGGCGCCCAAATTCATAAAAGACAAAAATAAAATACATTTCATATGAGCGAAGACGTAGGGTGCACCTATTAATAAATACATAATATTGTCTACAAGTAAATGAAAATTTTAAGATCTGGCCTTATAGAATATCTACAAAAAATCTTACCTGGAATTACATCGTATTCTTACTTAATTTTTTTCACATTTTACCTCTCGTTTAACTTACATGCTGAACCTGAATAATCTTTTTTAAAAAGAGCTCGTAAGAGACCTTTGCAAAGTGAGGGTAAACGTAAAGGTCGCAAGGATTTATGTTCAAACTTGAAACTTTTAATCCATTTTCCAATCGGACTGAATTATAAATTAGTCTACGTATCAAATGGAATTCGAATAAAATTCAGCCCACGTCTTAGCCGAATTTGAAAGAAATGAAAAAATATTACTCATTGAACGTTCTCAATTTTAGCAAGAACTAGCAAGACAACTTGAACAATTTAACTGTAGGATAAAAAAAAATTAATCAATTAAACTAGTGTTCGCCAAGTGGTCGTAATCAGACCATTACACAAGACATAGCTACTAAACAAAAAAAAAAAGAAAACCGTTGTCAATCGGTTTTCTTTTTTTTGATTTTGATAGATGAGAAAAAGGTACTAAATTATTTTGTCTTTGCCTATATACATTAAAAAAAAAATAACTTTAAAAAAAATGATAAGACTAAAGCTCGTCAACAGTTACTAAACAAAAAAGCAAAGAAAATCGTTTAACAAACAGAGGGCAAAAATGTAGTGAGCTGTTTTGTCGTAACGTCAGCTAATTTATTTAATTGGTGTATAAACTATAGTACCTGTAGGATTTGACGAAAAAATAGTTAATAGTGCAGTTGATGAAACTATTCTTCTTTTTGGTTTGGTTTACAACTAACATGGCCTCGGGTGATCACAATGGTCGGAAGACGGTGTCTTCCCACAATTATATATAAGCGCAGTATGTTTGATAGTATAATTATTTGGTATAAGAGTAATAATGGTACTGTAATTGGTAGAAGCGAGTTTTTCATACTGTAATTATAGTAAATGCTTTTCAAGCACAAATCTTTTAAGGGTTGTACAGTATAAAACGGCTTCCCTGATCTGGAACACAAAAAAGCTTAATTCTTATAACCTACAAGGGAGTCACCTTCGCTAACAAAATATTCTATGTCCTTCTCAGGGTCTCAAACTATCTCCTTACCCAATTTTATCTAAATCGGTCAAGTAGTTATTGAGTTTATTCGTTACAAACATACATAAATACAAATCTTTACTTTCGTGTCTCCCGTCAAATATTCTAAATTCGTTCAGGTATGATATCTAGTTCCATAAATAAATTGGACTCGTAGCGTCTCTTTGTAAACGCTAGAGCACAAACTCTTTACAGAACATTCATTTCCTTTAAATCCATTTTCCGTGCGACACTTGTCTGAAGAGAATCTTTCGTTTCCGAAATGACCAAAGCTTAAAAATTTGAAAAACCTATCTCATTCCATTAATTTAATAACAAATATTTAATATTGTATGATATCTGTCGTCCTACAATTTTGTTAAATGATTTGAATACACAATAACAATATAAGTTTTTATTAGAACCGTTTATGATGCAACTATAATAAATTTCAATGTCACTAATTACTATGACAAAGGGCACAGGTTCTTTTCTTGTGTGGAGTTCAAATTGTAATACCAATTTTAATATCAAAAAAGGATCTCGCCATTTGTTTATATGTAGGAGATAAGGTTTAAAACTACTGATTTGTAATTTTATAAGTTTAATTAAACGTTTTTCCACTTGCCAATACATTAATTAAATAAGTCTCGGTGGTGTAGTGGCTAGCATGTACGGCTGCACACCCGGAGGTCCTGGGTTCGAGTCCCGGGTCGGGCCAAGTTTAGTTATTGAGTCTTCCTGTATAGTAAGTCTCAGTAATAGCCCGGAGTTGGGAAGTTGGCGGTGTTTCACCCCCGTGCCTCGGAGAGCACGTAAAGCCGTCGGTCCTGCGCCTTAACTCTCACCGGTCGTGTCGAGTGGTCGTCCCACCGGAGTATGAGAGTGACAGGAATAGAGAGTGCACTTGTGTCTGCGCGTACACTTGAGCACTATAATATCTCCTGCGCAGTTGACTAATCTCATTGAGATTGGTCGCCGTGGCCGGAATCGGCTAGGAGAACATCATCATCATCATCAATTGAATAATATTACAAAGTTTTCGTAAGACGTGTTAAGTTCACCAACTCGTATTTGGCCATCGTTGTTATTCTTCGTATAAGACATGCTTATATGCAATAGTACGAAGAATTGTCATTACTATTTTTACAATAGAAAGCTACACTATACTAGAGTAAAGTAAACTTTAAAAATTGAGAATTTAATGAAAACATCTAATATATAAATATCTTGTGTCACGGTGTTTGTGGTCGTACTCCTCTGAAACGACTCGACCGATTTAAATGTTTTTTTTTTGTATTTTTGGTAGGAGAATAGGTCGTAAAGTATTTTTCACTCTCCTGGGTGGCAGGAGGGTGAAAAATACCGTTTTTTTATGTATACCCCGTTTTTTAAGTAACTAGGGGCGAACCCGAGCGGAGCAAGGATGAGTCACTAGTTTAATACAAAATACTATATAATACTAGCATTTCCCGCGGCTCCGCCCACGTTCAGATGACCAAAAACCAAATTCTTAGGCTTTACATATTAGTTATACTCTTACAATGAAGTTTTTGTATTTTTTCTCAGAAATGAGATATTTTCCCGCGGTAAAAAGTATCTTATATGTTGACCCGGATAACCAGCTATCATCATACAAAATTTAATCAAAATCTGTACTGTGGTTTTCTCGTGATGCGGTAACAGACAGACAGACAGAAAGACAGACAGACAAAAATTCTAAAAACTGTAGATTCGGACTCTGTATCAATAATAATGTCTATTTCAATTAGATTTTCCAAAAAATCTTTAATGTATTAATAATAAAATACGAGCTTTACTAAATCGGTATTAAAATTGGACCCCACACAAGAATAAACAGTACATAGTACCCATTTAATATAACACTTGATTAGAAATTCACTCCTCTCTTGGCCCTCTCATATCCCAAAGGTCGCGTATTATTACTATCTATTTTGGTCTCGTATTTTTCCTTGCTGAATTATATTTCTATAGCTAATGTTGTCAAACCCATCTTTATTTTTGTATTATGACATGATATGTTCGTCTTTTAAATACGAAGGAAGCTAATCTATACATATAATAAAATTTTGAGTCGAATCTGTACATTAATTATTTTTTTTTTTGGAAAATCTTTGTAAAATACTGAATCTAAAGTTTATAGAATTTTTGTCTGTCTGTCTATCTGTCTGTCTGTGTCTGTGACCGCATCACGGAAAATCCACTAGAGGGATTTTGTTGAAATTTGGTATGATGATAACTGGTTATCCGGGTCAACATATAGGATACTTTTTACTGCGGGAAAATATCTCATTTCTGATAAATCTATACTAAACTTTAAAACGTTAGTAGGAACGAAACCGAGCGGAGCGAGGGTGTGTCGCTAGTATAATAATAAAATAATCTTACTTTTAATTTACTTGTGAGCATAATAATTAATCTATCCATAACTAATAATCATTTCTAAAACGTAGTAAAATAAGTATCTGATACCAGGTCCGCCTATTGACCTACCGTTTAGATTTTAGTAGGTTCAAATCCCGCGTGAGAAACATGTATCTACTTTGATCATTTACACATTCATTTTAACTTATGTTGGCTATCTAGTGGTCACGAGATGAATATACATCTATATTAATATTATAAAGAGGTAAAGTTTGTGAGTTTGGGAGTTTGTGACGTTGTAAACACGTGTAAACACTGGATCTACTGAACCGATTTAGATGAAAATTGGTAAGAAGATAGTTTGAGACCCTGGGAAGGACATAGGATAATTTTATCTCGGAAATCATCCCTTAAGGGAGTGAAAATGGGGATGAAAGTTTGTACGGGGAATCAGGGTGAGTCGCTAGTTAAAAATATATATAAAAAACGTGACTAATAGTTCATAATGTTCTGGGTTTTGGATAGATTTATACGTTTATATTTATTACAGTTATTTTACGTCATATCATATCTGTATTCATAATAAATATATTATAATAACTTCAAATCCTACTTTTATTTCTTTTTATTGACATAATCTATAATATAGATATAAAAAATAAGGATATGGTTTAAAATTACATCGAAAAAATATGTTACATAAATCACAATCTTACATTAACAAACTTATAGTAAAACTATTTTCAAAGAAAACGCTACAAATCCCCACCCACGTCAAAACAACTCAAAGAACGGAATTTTGAGAACAAAACGTTCAAAAGTTTTCTTGATACAATATCTATGTAATAAAGTTAAGAAATTGCCAATATCTGGTTTTATAAAGCTGAAGGAGTGTCTCTGACAGTAAATGATTTAGATACCATCGATTATATATGGTTCCCAGACGGGAGAAACGAAAAAATATGACAAATTGATTTGTTGATCGATGCTATATAAAAACTCAGAGCGTCATAGCTTCTAGCTATATAATTGGTTAGTTTGTTAGTTTTATCATCCATACATATTTATAATAAGATTGTAACTGAATTGAATCTGTACAATAAATATTTTTTGGAAAATCATATTGAAATAGTCCTTATTATCAATACAGAGGCTGAATCTATTATAGGTTTCAAAATTTTTGTCTGAAAACCTACTGTACTGAACTGTACGGAACCATAGAAAAACCAAATAAATATTTATTTTTAAAGAAGTTATTGCTACTGGTTTAAGCTAAAATAATGTTCCTTTAAAACTTTTAAAATAAGTAAGTTAATTTCAATTGTTTTTTAAATTCAAGAGAAAATCATTTAAATTCACAAAGTTCTCCCAATAAAGATGCCAAAACGCGAACATTTCGTTTGAAAATGCACATAAAGTGCAAGGTATAAAATTGTCAAAGTGTCATTCAAACTGAGCCATTAGCCGACCTGCGGCTGCTTCCTGCTTTGGATGTGTTGCAGTTTAACGGAAATATACATGCATATATACGTGCATACATGTTTTTGCTTTAAATTGATATTTTACATTTTTATATGGAATCTTACTACTAATAAATACGAAAGTTTGGATGGATAGATGTTTGTTACTCAATCACGCCAGAACGACTGAACAGATCTGGTGGAAATTTGACTTGATTGAAATTTATAGTCTGGAATAGCACATAGACTACTTTTTATCCCGGAAAAATGTACGGTTCCTGTGGGATAGATTTGTTATTGTTTTACACTAGGGCGAAGCGACGGTGAGCCGCTAGTGTGTTATAATTTTCAACCATATTCTTATTTTTTATATTTATATTAAAGATTCATTTCAATAAAAAAGAAATAAAAGTAGGGTTTGAAGTTATTATAATATATATAAATACAAATATGATATAAAATAGCTGTAGTAAGTATATATACTATTTAACCAATTATTGAAAGTATCTCTTTAAATTAATATTTATACATAAAACTTTAAATAAAGCTATACAGATTTTACAGTCCATTGGATTGCTAATATTTCGTGAAGAAAAATCTGGTTAATATTTTAGCCTCATTCGGGATATAAACCCAGGATTTCAGAATTGACCAATAAGGCAGTCAAATACAATTAAATAAATAATAAATAAATATGTTGGGACATTAATACATAGCGCCACCTAGTTACATGATAACCTACGAGGCTTGTGTTATAGATACTAGATAGTTGATACACTACACATATATAAATTTTAAATACATATATATAATAAATATAACCACCCATGACTGGAGTACAAACACTTGTGCCCATCACACAATGAATGCCCCCAGCGGAACTCGAAACCGCGACCGCTGGCACAGCAAGTAGGGTCATTACACACTGAACCAAACGTGTCGTCTATTATGTACGGCAATAAAGAAAAATTACGTACACACATATCACCTTTTGCAAAGTTCTTCTCGACTTTTCTGATATATTACAGTTCATTTACTAATACAATATTTTAAAATTTTATAAAGTTATCTAACTTCAAGTAACATTTACCACCAAACCCGAGCGTGGGATGTCACTTTGTGACGTCAAATATTTCCGTCTCATATCTACTTGCGTAAAGTTCTTTGCCAAAATAGAATCTTTAAATAATTATACATATAATAAACTTGTAACTGATCGCTGTCTGTAAACAATGATTGTTAGAATGTTTGTCAGTTTGTCTGTGCGTTTGTGCGCGATAATCTCAGAAACAGCTTAACCAATTCGGATACGTTATGGTAATCTGGAAAGGTTCATTTAACAATAAGTGTTTGTTATATTTCAATCGGTTCATGAATAAAAAAGTTATGTCAATTTAAAGAATCACCTAGAGACGAGTACGAGAGAAGCGTGGGCGAATCGCTAGTTTTACAGATATATTATAGGGAAAACAATCATACTAACAGATATAACATAAATATGTAGAATTTAAAACAATAAATAGGATATAACACAAATAGAAAAACAATAAAAGACCCAGTCCTTTAAAGATAGGGTAGATGGACGTTGTAAGAAGGCGACCCTAACGCCATATAGATCAAGTTTTATGTGGATATTTTTTTTTAACTTTACGCCAAGGTCCTGAATAAAGGTAAATCCAATATTATAAAACCTTTTGGCTTGAAAAGCGATTCATTTGTCAAAATAAATAGATGTACCCAATATATGATATCCCTAGGCGAGTTAAACATATAGATAAAAACGCTATAAAATATTAAACATCTTTTATACCGATTTAACATGTTTCATATTATCTTTTATATGAAAAATTTAATTCTTTTGCATCGATACAAAACCATATATAAATTAGGAATTTAAAAAAACCCCTACGCCAATTAATTGTCATTAAACGATTACACTGGCACGCGTGAAGCATTTAATCGAGTAATCATACGCCAAAATGCTTTACATAATTTTGGGAAAGTACTCTTACACTACAGGACCGATATTAACCAAACATAGCTAAGAACCACCGCAAGGAAACTGGCTTTCAAATGAAAAAAACCGCATCGAAAACGGTCCATCCGTTTGAGAGCTACGATGCCACAGACAGACGTACATACAGACAGACAGACATCGACGTCAAACTTATAACATTCCACTTTTTGCGTAGGTGTTAAAAATTAATATTATTGGAAATACGAGTTTCTCCTTGAGGAAAACTATACTTGCTCAATCAAATCAACTTTATCCAATAAATCATAATTACAAATGCTACTTTAAATATGAAATGCTATTTTACGGTCCTTGACTTTTAATAGTGCATTGAAAGTAATAAGAAAACTAGAATTGTACTTCAGAATGGAAACTAATACTAGTATAGGATTGTGGAAATGGAACGAGGCATTAAACTTTTTCTTGTTATAGCGGTGAGTCATTGTTATTGTAAAGCTGGTTAAAATCATATTTATTTACATACAAACAAACATACATAAATAATTCAAACAAATAAGTCCAATATTAAAAATAATCTAATTGTAATACTTTATACATATAATTAAATTCTTACTGAGTCGAATCTGTACATTAAATATTGTATTGAAAATCTTATTGAAATACTCATAATTATCGATATAGAGGCCAAATCTATAGTTTTTAGAACTTTTGTCTGTTTGTCTGTCTGGGAACGTATCACAAGAAAACAACTGGACGGACTTTGATGGAATTCGATTACTATAATAGCTGGTTATCCGGGTTAACATATAGGATACTTTTTACTGAGAAATCTATACTAAACCTTAAAACGTAACTAGGGACGAACCCGAGCGGAGCAAGGGTGAGTCGTTAGTTATATAATAAATTTAATAAAGATTAACATTTATCAATGTTTTAAAAAACTGGCTGCCTAATACTCAAATCTGACAGTATATTCCATTTATTTTTATATATTTACATTCATTTGGGAATTTTGTTTAATAACATCGATTTTTACTCCTAGTGGTTGACTGCTAAACCTTAGCGGTGAAGTCGATGCTTATCTTAACTACTTATTGATTTCTACATATATGTATGCAAAATAACATCATTCTGACGAAATATTTTATTAAAATTTCATAAGAAACTATCTAGAATCAGATTTTGACGCGGTTTTATTACAGAAACCTCGATCGACTTCGACGATCGCGACGCTTAGAATTCTTTGCAGCCATGGTTACGGTAGAGACTAAGGTTTTAGATGTCCCAAAAGTTATTATATAGTTGTTACAGACATTGGAAGAAATAGACAAATGGCACTGAAATACCTCACAATATTTGTTAATTTTAATTTTAAATTATTAAAAATATTTACGTAAATGTAAGAAAATATTAATTTCATAAGAAATTCGTAGTTTCATATAAAATAAAGCATTCAGGCGAAGCAAGGTCTAGATACTAGTGAAAAGAAGGAATGAGAAGCTTCACTGAGCAAAATGCAAATTAAGGAAATTTTGTTGTAGAATTTAAATGTACTTGTTACTCCTTTCAGTTTGCGTCATATCCTTGTGATGGCGTCAGCCTCAGGCGACAATTCCAACATATTATTGTAAGACATTTTACTTACTATTTTTTATCCAATTATCCCAGAAAGACAGTAATGTTTTTCGAGTGTATATAATATTATATTTCTCTATTTTTGAAGTGAAACTTATTTAGAATCGTTGTGATTTGAAACTCGATGAAACGGAAATGCGACACGAGAAAGAGACAAACATAAATTAATTAATGCGGCGAAAGAATGAGATAGAATTAATGAATGTAATGACACGTTATAACTAATTGTTGCCATGGTAACCGTTGTTATTGTCTGACAAATGATATATAATATTATATTCTTTCCGTATATGATATTCTATAAATATATGATTGTAATATGCCCAATGTTCCTTATTTAATTATTGATTTGTTTTAATTTAATTGTGATGTTATCCAAAGAATGACTTATTCTTTGCTCTTTTTAACATCATGGGCTATCTTTATATTAGAAAGTGATGGATAGTGAATAATAGAATAAAATATTGTCATGACAATTATGTGATTTTTTCTATAAATATAATAGCTTACATTATTATGGGGAATATCATAGCTACTTTTTTCACCGTAAAGCGAGACCAGGGCATTACATTAGCATTTTACTCCACACAAATCACAATTCTAATAGATACTTATGGATAAGGTTGTTAATCTTTATAAAATCCAAAATATATTGTCCAGAACTAATGACCATACAATTTTTAGGATTCAAAATTACAGAGCTTGAACCATGAATTTTTACCTTCCGTAAGTTCAGTATAATATAAATACTTTATTTTAGTTATTTTTTATTTACTTATATGTTAAATAAAACTAGTTTTTCCGATTTTTTTATTTGGATTTTTGGTTCCCGACGTTTCGAATGCTTTACAGCAATCATGTTCACGGGAGAGACTGAGGTGTTAGATGTCTCAAAGGTATAGTTGGTACCGACAGCCTACCCACAAATAACAAAATGATGAAAATTTGCGTTAAATAATTTTAGTGAGATTGGACTATATAAATTGTCTTAACAATACGGGAGTGCGTCCGTTTGTTCTAAGTTTATCTTCAAGTCTGGCTCAAGTCCAGAGTTAACTTTTAAATTTAATACTATTACCATTTTATTGGCAGCGTACTTTTAATTATAACCTTGTTATATTTAATTAAATATTGTTTATAATATATAAACTATTGTCTTCTAGAGAAGATTTTATCAATACGATCCTCGTGAAATTTCATCGATTCTTGGTGTACCATCCAGACCTAGTCATTTACCAGAAGCAGAACCCATATTACCTGGTCACACACTCTTAAGACCAGCAATAGGAATGCTAAAATCTTCAGTCAAATTTCCCCATAAAGACCTGGAGGATGGATCTGGGGTTTATGGCAATATTGATAACTTGGGAATAAGGTAAGTCAGTTTTTGCTAAATTTCTGGCTAGTATTAAATACTTACGAACTTTATTTGTATACAATTCATAATGAAGTATTAGTCCAATCTATAGCTAAGTGGTTTAAATTATATTTGGAAACATTCTCACTTAGCCTTCTTGTAAATGACTTTTTTCAAAACGCTTTTCAAAGAAAATTGTGGACATTAATATCGCTTTGCGATCAAAATTTAAAACCCTCGATACATATTATATAGAATTATCTCTCAAAAATTAAAATAATAAGATATTACAGTTTCTCCTAATTGCGTCAGTAGACCTGAATTAGAACTGCCTATAACGTTTTCTTGGTGTTCCCCTTATAAATTTTATATATATATTTACAATCTGAACTTTCAATGAGTAACCTGTAAAATATCCTTCAGGAGCATAATGAGGTGAGGGAAAAGGAATGCTATTACAGGAGCTTTAGTTTTACTCATATGCACCTAAATTCTACGTCAACGTCATATTTCCGATAGTTCAGTGGTGACAAGATGTTAACTAAGATCTAGAACATTTAAGGAGTCTCCTGAAGAGTCTTTAGTTCGTTTATTAGCTCCTCCGTCCTATTCAAATTGCATACGTCGGCGTAGTCAAAGATTGTCAAGAAAATATATTGCTCTTACACGATTTTGATACTAAAAGGTAGCAAGTATTGGAAACGTTTGAGTTAATGAAAAGCGAAATGCATTCGTTTCTTAAGTTCGTTGATATCATCGTAATTTTATTATTTATTTATACGCTTTATTGTACACCACAGTAATGAAATACAGGCAACAAAGTATTAAAAAAACAAAAGTGTGCACAAAATCTAGTCTTATCACTGATTAGCGATTTTTTCCAGACAACCTTTGGGTTAGGAAATATGTAAGACTATACAGGTTGGGTGGTATATATATAATATACAATTCGTACCACAATACAACCTAATACTTAGAAATTCTATACATATATCTATATATAATATACATATATCTTTAAACTATACTAATACATAATCAATCATAAAATATTATGACTCAAGAGTGTAAATCTTAGGCACCAAAGTCTACTCAATTCTGCACATTGTATGGTCTTACTGATTATAATGGCTTGAGATTATTTGGGATTTACTAGTAGGTAGGTTACTTGACAACTACAATGTCCTGAGGCTATTCATTCAAATTGAAATGATACTATAATTGAAAACCGTATAAATTGTAGGGAAAATAAATTGATTTGTGAGGTTTTATTCCATGGAAACCACTAACTCCAAGCATGACAAACTAATTTTTGGGCTTCGTAGAGATATAATATATAACCAATTCATAGCTTCGGTAAATGCTAAAAGCGCAAGTAGAACTAAAAAGTATTCCAATATGAACAAATTAGATACTCAAATCAAATCAAACAGTAGGTACCAGACTCGTATTCGACACGACCGATAAGAGATGAAGCGCATGGTCGACGACATTACGTGCTCTCCGTGGCACGAAGGTGAAATACCACCAACTTCCCAACTCTAGGCTTTTACTGAGAATTTCTAACCAGAATTACTCAATAATTTGTTATTGAGCTGGTCTCCCCCGGGACTTGAACCTAGGATCTCCGGATCTGCAGCCATATACGCTAGCTACTAGACCACCGAAGCAGTTAGTTTGCGCTAACAATACTATATACTGTACAGCAGAATTAGTAAAGGTGGTGGGTTTTAGTATATTTAAATGTATTTGAACTGGTCCATCCAATTAAAAACAACGATTAACCGACAGACTGACAAGCAGACATTAACGTCAACATTATAACACCCCTGTTTTTGCGTCAGATGTGAAAAATGTCATTCAATTTAAAATATAACTGTCTTATTTTCTTGTAAACTGGATATATTTAGTACTAGCATTGCCCGCGGCTCCGCCCGCGTTCAAATGACCAAAAATCTAATTCTTAGGTTTTACATATTAGTATACTCTTACATTGCAGTTTTTGTATTTTTTCTCAAAAATGAGATATTTTTCCCGTGATAAAAGGTATCCTTTATGTTGACCAGGATAAACAGCTAACATCATACCAAATTTCATCAAAATCTGTCCAGTGGTTTTCTCGTGATGCGGTAACAGACAGACAGACAGACAAAAATTCTAAAAACTATAGATTCGGCCTGTATATCGATAATAATGTCTATTTCAATTAGATTTTCCAAAAAAATATTTAATGTACAGATTCGACTTAGTTACAATTTTATTATATTATTCAGTAAAAACGCTTGCGACATCCCTGTGCCACTCAAGAATTATATAATAACGTAAATGTAATTTCATTCAATTAGACACGATGCCCGAAATGAAAGATTGCTTTATACTGGATTTAGAAGATTCCCATCCGATTATATAATGGTAAGATAATTTTTTTTTCTATTATCAGTATTTTTAGAAAAAAATAAAAATAATAGAAATTATCAGTATTTTTTTTAATTCACCTATCTTTACCAGACGATAAAAGATCGATGAGTGGTATATGAAAACTTAACTTATATATAAAGTATTAGTGACTCAACCTCGCTTCCCTCGGGTTCGTCCCTGGATACGTTTTAAGGTTTAGTATAGATTTCTCAGAGATGAGATATTTCCCCGCAGTAAAAAGTATCCTATGTGTTGACCCGAATAACCGTCAATCATCATACCAAATTTCATTAAAATATGTCCAGTCGTTTTCTCGTGATGCGTTCCCAGACATACAGACAGACAGATGAAAATTCTAAAAACTATAGAGATGGCCTCTGTATCGATAATAATGTCTATTTCAATAAGATTTTCCAAAAAATATTTAATGTACAGATTCGGCTCGTACAGATAAAAGCCAATGGAAACCCGATATTATGCCGGGACAAAAAGAATCTGGTGTAACTCCCAACTTAATTAGTTACCTTGAGTTATATTGTTAAATTAATGCAGAAGATTCGAAGATTAGTTTGGAATCGAAAGATTTTTTATGGAAATCTATTACTAAGGAAACATGGGCCGGGGATCAAATAGCTGTATATATATATATATATATACTTTAGCAGAACCCGCGACTTCCCTCGCGCTAAAACTACAAAAAATCTTTAAAAAGGTGGGTACCTAAGTTTCATACCAACTTTCATCCCCTATTTTACCCCCTTAGAGAATATTTTTTTTAAAATGCTAAAAACGTATTTATTTCATTATATTGAAGAGCATTAATAACAAGTTTCAAGTAATTCTGATCAGAAATAAATTTTTGGATTGTATTATAACGTGTTTTCCCGTGGAAATGAAATGGTCTCCCGTGATAAAAAGCCTATGTCACTCCTCAGCTCTCCAACTATCTTCACACCAAAAATCACGCCAATCCGTCACTCCGCTTCGACGTGAAAGAAAGACAAACAAACAAACAAACAAACAAACAAACAAACAAAACACATTTTCACATTTATAATATTAGTATGGATTTCGTTTGCATATAGTACTTAAAGCATATAATTTGTATGTGATATTATATATTTTGTATTCAAGGTTGTTCCTACTAAGGGAACTTACTATGGAAGGCCAAGGTATGTTTTTTTCCTTTTACTAATAACTGGTATTTCATATTTAATTTTCTATTTAATAGACTAACGTTATAATATAGACAGAGTGTCAGAAAACTAAGCATGAAGCCAAACAAAGTTTTAGAATAAAGTCAGAAATATTTCTTAATCCTACGCCAGTACTTTTCGGGACTCTATCTTTTCGTAGGTGGTAGATTCATGAAGTTCTGCAAAAAAAATCTATTTGAGTTTCAAAAATTAATGTCGACACTAACAGCTCTAAGATATGTTGCGTTCTCAGTACAGCACTAACTCTAGGGCTTAGAGCACGAGCGGGTAAAGACTAATAAATTCAAAGCTTTTTAATTTATTCTGCCTTTAATTAATACGAGATAACTCTCAAAGCATACTTGTACAATTCTAAATAAATTTTACTTTTAGTATTCAAAGCGCATATGTTCATATTATTATGATATAAATTATGTTGAATAATTTTTCTCTAATTTATATGTATTTGATATAAATACTAATTGCTTATCTATATAATATATAAAACAAAGTCCGGTTTGTTACAACACTTATATAACTCGAGAACTGCTGGACCGATTTTCATGATTTTTGATTTTTTGGATTTGTCTCCACCCCGAATAGTAGAATAAGTTTTAAAACATCGGAAAAAATCACAAAAAATATATACATGGCTAACGCTGGCTAATAACTATTTATATGTATTCAAAATGTACCTAGGGATGAACCCGAGTGAAGCGAGGGTGAGCCGCTAGTACATATTATATAGCAGACTACTGTGACCAACTCTCTTAGAAACCTTTAGATAAAGAAGTAATAGTATCTATTATAGATAGTTTGTCATGTTCCCAAGATGCAACAACTATAAACCCACTACCTTATCATATCTTCATTCGGGGGCATCCCTACATGCTAAATAATAGTCTATGTGTGAATTAAATGTTATCCATTAAGCTGTTTCAGCGTGAAAAATTAATACACATACAACACATAGAGACATTAGCAATTATAATACTAATAACCTAAAAGCTATACCAGGGGCCAGATTTAAAAATGTGGGCCCCCAGTCCCCTAAATAATATTACACAGTAACGAAGCTCTTTTACGTTTTCCGTTTTTAGGGTTCCGACAAAAGGTGCCAACGGAACCCTATTACTAAGCCTCCGCTGTCTGTCCATCCGTCTTTTACGGAATTTCAAAAATCACAAAACGGAAGCACCTTCCACCCATTTCTCAGGAATTTCACATAGAGATAAACGAATTTGAAACAACTAAAAAGAATTTACTATGTTTTGGGTGGAAAGCTAAACCTACAAGAGAAGAATAAACCAAAAAAGAACTATTTTTTAGAAACAATAAATATATATATTTTTTTATTAATTAGTATGGAATACAAAAACATTCTTGCACCTCTGCAAGAAGTTGATACATAATACTTTTTTATTCGCAGATTCAAACTAGTGCCTGCAGTTTTAGATATGGTAATATTTATAGTAACTTTGTACCAACCTAATGTATATATCGCCTTCGCACATAAATAGAAGCCAGATTAAAAAATATTTTGCTATTGTAGCAATATTACGTGCTATGAAATGAATGCTATTGAAACAAAAATGACTTTAAATAAAATAATTTTAATCAAACTTGCGACTTGCCCTTTCTTAGCTCAGGTGCACCCCTAGATGCTTTTTATGTTTATAATACTAGCAGAACCCGTGGCTTCGCTCGCGCTAAAAGTACAAAAAAATAATAAAATTGTAGGTTTCATACAAACTTTCATCCGTTATTTTACCCCCTTATAAGATGAATTTCGAAAAATGCTAAAACACGTATTTAATTAATTGTATTGAACAGAATTTGATGATGTGATTTGATGTTCTCCTGACCGATTCCGGCCACGGCGGCTAATCTCATTGAGACTAGCCAACTGCGCAGGAGATATTATAGTACACAAGTGTACGCGCAGACACAAGTGTACTCTCTATTCCTGTCACTCTCATACTCTGGTGGGACGACTGCTCGACACGACCAGTGAGAGTTAGGCGCAGGACCGACGGCTTTACGTGCTCTCCGAGGCACGGGGGTGAAACACCGCCAACTTCCCAACTCCGGGCTATTACTGAGGCTAACTATACAGAAAGGCTCAGTAACTAAACTTGGCCCGACCCGGGACTCGAACCCAAGACCTCCGGTGTGCAGCCGTACATGCTAGCCACTACACCACAGAGACATTTATACCGAGTTTCAAGTAATTCTGATCATAAATATTTTTTGGATTGTATTGTAACGTGTTTTCCCGTGAGGAAAGAGATAATCTCCTACCGTAAAAAGTAGCCTATGTCACTCTCCAGCCCTCCAACTATCTCCACACAAAAACACGCCAATACACCAAGCCGTTTCGACGTGAAAGAATGACAAACAAACAAACACACTTTCACAATTTAACAAACTTTAATATTAAGTATGGATTATATGCAAGTAGTGCCACCGTTTAGCAAATTTTATGACCTTACCTAAACTAACCTAAGTAGCTAATGTGCTACTCTTCAGGTTATCGTCTGTCTATCTAGTATTTCATCTAAATCTATTTAACCCTTTCAGCGGGGAAGTAACAAAAAGAAAGAAACTTTTGCATTTGCAATAGTACTGTAATTTTGGTTCAAACTATCAAATCAAAAAATATATCTATGTGTTTGTAAGCTTGTTTAAAAGGGATAAATAATCTATACACATAATAAAATTGTAACTGATCGCTGTCTGTACATGGAAGATATTTGAAAAAAACTATCATTTGGGGTCTTTACATACGCAATAGAACCCAAAACAATGATTTTTAGAATTTTTGTCTGTTTGTCTGTTCGTCTGTGCGTTTGTGCGCGCTAATCTCAGAAACGAATTAACCAATTAGGGTGCGGTTTTCGCTAATATATTGTGGTAAACTTCATATAACATTTAGTATTTGTTTTATTTCAATCGGTTCATAAATAAAAAGTTATGTCCATTTTAATAATCACCTAGGAACGAACCCGAGCAAAGCGAGGGTGAGTCGCTAGTTTATAAATAAGAATACGAACAGAAAGTACCTTTCTAATTGCTTTGTTAACCCAACGTTCAAGTAAGTATATAATAAAATGAAAAAATGCAGTAACTTTAAACAGTGTTTTAATTTAATCCCATTATCTTCAGGAGCAAAAGGAAAAAACAAAAAACGCCCTCCTAAAGATATTAAAGAGGTTGAACTTCCTCAAAGGGTAAGTCTTAGTTATAATTCACTTTTGACTCTATTTTCTTTTAAATATCCTCCATTTGCTTTTTAGAGATGACTTTTTTCATTCTTTACAGAGCAAAGATCTTCGTCGCTAATTTAGGTGGAAATGTAAGAATATTATGCGTTATTATTTATACTAGTTTTTGTCTTGTGCTACTATTTAACTGCCTCGGTGGTATAGTGGCTAGCATTTATAATTGGACATCACTCCGTAACAGCCCAGAGTTGGAAAGTTGGCGGTATTTCACCCCCGTGCCTCGGAGAACGGGTAAAGCCGTCAGTCCTGCGCCTTAACTCTCATTGGTTGTGTCGAGTGGTCGTCCTACCAGAGTATGAGAATAAAAGGAATAGAGAGTCCATGTTGTGTCTGCGCGTACACGCGCTGCACTATATAATATCTCCTGCGCAATTGGCTAGTCTCAATGAGATTGGCCGCCGTGGCCGGAATCGGCTAGGAGAACATTATTAGTGTTCACCTAGTGGTGGAAATTCGACCACAATAATTATTATAAATTTAAGAATAACATATGTATGTATATGAATAGCATTTACCTACCTATATAAAAAAATCTGTTTCCAAAAATGTTGATTGATAACTCTAAAGCTTGTCAATAAATACCAATTGACAAACAGAGGAAAATAGATAATGAATTGTTTTGGTGGTATTATTGAAATTCAGATTATAATAATTAGGAGACTATATAAGAAACTTGTTAAATAACAACGAACCAGACATAATATGATAGTGGTTGCTATAAATAAATCTGTACAACTAATAAAATTGTGACTGATCGCTGTCTGTGCATGGAAGATATTTGAGAAAAACTATTATTAGGTCTTTATTAACACAATAGAACCCGAAACAATGATTTTTCGAATTTTTTTCTGTTTGTCTCGTTTGTGCGCGCTCATCTCAGAAATGGCTTAATCGATTTGAGTGCGGTTTTCACTAATTTATTGTGGTAAACTTCACTTAACATTTAGTATTATTTCAACAGGTTCATAAATAACAAAATTATATCAATTTAAAGAAACACCTAGTTACTGTAATGTAATATAAATAAATCACTTCATCATAGCAAAATATGTATGTACAAAACAATCTGTCATAGTAAATAAAGCTACTAACTAGGTTTAAATTATCTTATTTGATAAATGCATGTAGAGCTTTTGAACTTTCTACATGCGGTCGTCTTTAACTTGCTAAATGCACAAAGTCTCTGAGGAGTTAATGAATACAGGAACATTTCAGATAAATGTACTTTATGTGGTAAATGCTTAAAATAGATAGAAAGCTCATTTTATTGCATAATATACGTAGCGAAAAAATAAACTTTTGGAATCCATATATAATATATATAATAAAATTGTAACTAAGCCAAATCTGTACATTAAATAATTTTTGGAAAATTTTATTGAAATAGACATTAATATTGATACAGAGGCTGAATCTGTAGTTTTTAGAATTTTTGTCTGTCTATCTGCCTCTCTGTGACGACATCACGGAAAAACCACTGGAGAGATTTTGATGAAATTTGGTATGCTGATAGCTAGTTGTCTGGATCAACATATAGGATATTTTTTACTGCGGGAAAATATCTCATCTCTGAGAAATCTATACTAAACGTTAAAATGCAAATAGGGTCGTACCCGAGCGGAGCGAGGGTGAGTCACTAGTATATATATATATATATATATATATATATATATATATATATAAGCAAAGATAAAACAGTTCAGTAAAAATGAAAATTATGTTTATTAATATAAAAAAGAAAGTAGAAGAAAATCTGTAACGATTTTTATGCGTTATATTTTCAGAATTTAAACATGCCAGCTAAGAAAGATCTTTCCAATTACCTGTAAGTACTAATAATAATAATGAGAGAGATTAAAGTAGCCAATTAGCTTACAGATATAACAGTCCTTATTATTTTAAAAGAATATAATAGCATAGGTTTCCATGGACTATTGTTCTATTGTACATCACTCAGGGATGCGCTTGGGAGAAATAAAAGCTATGGCAAGTTAGAATATGAAAAGCTAAACTGAATTTTTAATGCTTATGTTTCACGTATCTTGCAAGTAAGCCTTTTTTTTAACGTTGGGAAATGCATTTACGCACGAGGTGTGGGACTCGCCGGCAAAGCCAGTACTACCCACTAAAACCTAACAAAACCTTCCCCCGTCTTAATGGGGCGTCGCAGGATCGCTTACGCATTCAACTACGACGCCCCGACGGCAGGTCTGCCGAAGCAGACCACAACAACCACGGGGTTGCTCCACAGTCCACTCTGCTATCAGAGAAGTACCAGGAGCAACCCGCATGGCACACTGCCGTCCGAAGAGGACCACCTCCCACCGCCCACTAAAGTGGGCCACCTCCCTGTGCGTTTCTTGGCTTCGCGCCCGGTTGGGTTACCGGGCACTACTGAGCCCCCCCACCACGACAAGGTGAACGCACGTTGGGGGGGGGCTCTTGCAAGTAAGCCTGCGGGTTTAGACAAGATGTCATCTTACAATGGTTGAAAAATGGAATTTTGTGTTGAAATAAGAATGAAAAATCCTTATACCATAGAATCGTTACATGTCATTCCCATATATGTATTTTATTACAAAAACATTATAAACCGACGAAAAAAAAAGGTTCTCAATTTACACATATATTTTATTTGTGTTTGACAACTCGTAACTTTTTATTACAGTGTAATTCGATTTCGATGATTTTTTTTATTGGATAAGGCTTATCTCAAAGTCGGTTCCATTTAAATTTGAAAAAAAATTTACCCTTAAGTATAGAAAATAGGGGATGATTGATTTTTCACCTACTGAATTAAAAAAAACTTTCTTCTTTGTTTCTACCATGCACTTAAAATGGAATGGCCAGCCGATACAAATCAAAGCACATCGACTTCGAAGATATCTGATTAGGTATCTGTAGTAAATAAAAATTACCAATCAGTTATTTTTTACTTTTTAGTGTTTTTTGAAGTCGGGTTTTATTTATTAAATTCTTATTTTTCAACGATTGCAGAATAACATTTTATCTGTTTTGTCCACGCCCCCTGGATTTTTAAAGCTATGTAATTATCTTATAATATTCACACTTAATAGTTAATTAATTCAATCTAATATTCAATCTTCCTTCAAAATGCAGGTTAGCGGACTTCACATTTCTTTCGAAAAATTGCTAGGTTATTTCAAACATCCAGGTTTTCCAACGATAATTACCTTAAAAATGGGGCAAGTGTATTGTTGAAAAATGATTCGCAGGGGAGAATATCAGAGATGCGAGACTTGAACCCGCTACACTTGGTTTCCCAAGCGAGTGCATTGCAACTTCGCTACCGCTGTCTTAAAAACTAATTTAATGATAATTTCTTATGTACTTCCTTTGATGAATAAAAAAAATATATTTTATTTTCATCAAAATATAATTTATTTACAGAAACTTGAACGGGCCAGTACGTAGCGATTATATATTTTTTAATTTAAAATCTTAAACTAACTTACTCTCGTGACTTTGCCTATGATGACCATCATTTTCTATGGAAACGCTTAAGCGTAGTTTACAATTAAGCATTTTTTGGAACTTCTCTCATTTTCAAATTCAATTACAATTACTTAGACTAAAATATATACTCGTACGCATGTATTTAATATTTATTTGTATCTGTTTTCTTCTCAATCATAAAGTGATATGTACTCTTGTGTTTTGAGAAGCAAGCCTCTAAGCCGTAAACAATTGTGATAAGTATAATATATTACTTCTGCTATCTCGCAAGGCACAAAGTCTTTACAAGATTTAGCTAAGCTATGTAGTTTAAACATCTAATAGTCGGTCTTTCCGGTTTAAAATTGATTCATTTTTTAAGCACATTCGATTTCATTCATATTAAGTTTAACTCAATGAAATCGAACGGACACCACGCGTTCAAGTCTTGAAAATACATTTCGATATCTATATAGATAATATATTATATCACCATCGCTTCGCTCGGGTTTGTCTTTAGGTACGTTTTAACGGTTAGTATGGAATAGATAGATAATACATTATATAGTGTGTTTTCCCGTGAGAATGAGATAATCTCCCGCGGTAAAGTAGCCTAAGTAGCCTATGTGATATGTCACTCTCTACCCCATTCTATATCCAACTATCTCCACACAAAAAATGACGCCAATTCATCACTCCGTTTCGACTTGAAAGGAGGACAAACAAACAAACAAACAAATAAACAAACAAACAAACATACAAACAAACAAACATACAAACAAACAAACAAACAAACAAACAAACAAACAAACAAACAAACAAACACACTTTCACATTTATAATATTAAGTATGTATAAGTATGGATGCATATTGTACACGCAGACAACGCCACCTTTTGAGTTTTTTTTAATATCTAACAGTTGCTGTTAATACTATGGCCTACGTGGTACTCTAGGTACTCTATCTGCAAACTAAACATCTGAATCCGTACAATCATTTTATCGTTAATGTGTAACAACTAACAAACGTACACATACAAACTTTCGTATTTAGAATAGTAGCCTGTTAAAAAATATATCTTAAAAAGCATTTTCAATCATTAACATTTATCTTTCATTCTATTTTCTTCTATTTACATCTCTCTCTCTCTCTCTCTCTCTTTCTCTCTCTTTTTTTTATTTCTCTGTCTTTAAGAAAAAAAAGGCGCTTAGTATCTATATATTAAAATGAATATTACTCGAATAATTTAGAAATTATGAGTTCCTTAGTCCTTAGCATAACGATTAATTGACATTACTAAAAATATTTTTCCTTCTTTTAACATAGGTCTTTAAGACTGATTGCTTTAATCATTAAAGAGGTTCAAAGTATTTTTTTCGAACAGCCTAGATTGTGATATTTAGATAAGGGCAATTTAGCGTTTGTGTCGCGTCCATAGCGTCAAATTGAAAACCATTACCGGTAATAACGGGAAAAACTTTTTAATTTAAAAGTAAAGCTACGAATCTAATATTATTTACACATACATACGTACTATATACAAATCTAACTATATACCAGGGGCGATGGGTCCATACAAGACGTCTTACTTTAAAATTTCTTTTCTATAATTTTACATACATTTATTTTTTTAAATGTATAAATGTATATATATACATATATATATATAACGGCTTACCTCTGCTAAAATTTCACCATTCGCCACTGCTATATACCTACATATAACGGTATTCATACGAACTATTTTAGCTTATTGATGTGTTTATCCTTCTTTTACGGAGCTACGTGATATTTTTGAAGTGAAACTTCCTTAGAATCGTTGTCATTTGAAAGTCGATGAAAAGAAAATTCGATACTAAATACGCAATACTACGTTGGTTATATTATTATCAATCAGAACGTCATACATACAAATAATTTCATATAGTATGTGCAAATTATGGTAAAATATAGAATCTAATACATTTTTTATTGTAGTACAATATTAAAAATCAGTTCAAAAACTTTGAATTTTATATTGACAGAATAAAGCAAAATTACACAGTCATGTGCTACGAACCAGTGCAACTTCTGAAGAGGGAAGTGTGGAAAAACAAAAGGAATCAATACCAAACGAACAACCAATGAATGGTGAGAGTACAGGAAAGATGAAATTTCTACTGGATTCAAAGGTGAAAAAAGCTTACAAAAGCTCACTTTATACTTTACTTGTAAAATAACACTAATAAAAAAGCTTTTCTAGTACTCGTATAACGTACGTACACACACAACTCACTCAACACACACATTCCAAAAAGGCATTTTTTAATTGAGACTTAAAATGTTTGATTAAAAATTAATTTTTATTTTTTATACGTTGAAGGAATTTCAAAGAATTTATATTTATATATAAATTATAAGCTCAGTAGTTTTAGAGAAAAGATAGAGATGAAATTATTTAAATGAATATAAAATTAATAAACGTAACGTATTTAGTAAGTGTATCATTTTGTCTCAACATAACCTCCTTTTTTGATGTCAGTTAAAGACGCTTTGAACTTTTCTAATAATAAATAATATAAATAATATTTTGTAGGACATTTACAACAATATAAAAGTTCATAAAAATGCTCCAGAATTCAATGAGCTTATGCCAAAAGAATATCAAGAAGACAACATCCGCGAATGGTGGTATTACAATGCGGTAAGATATAAACAGATAATATTAGTTTTTCAATACAATATAGTAATTGATTTTACTATTTACCAGTATTTTTAATATTTAATTATTAACTGCAAATTTAATTAGGTATTTATTCTAAAATAAACCCCCCGTTTAGTTATTTTTTACTTTTTAGTAGGCACTAAAATGAAGTCGGCACTAAAACGAAGTCGGTATTTATTGTTTTAATTAAAGTTTTTATTTGAAATCGGTCAAACAAATAAAATCAAAGTGTCTCTGTATATGTACCTATGTTTAAAAATTATATATACAAAAAAACAATAACCTTAACATTACCTAATGTAAGAAATACTAATTTTTGTGTTTGATCTCTTACAGGATGATTACACACCATTTGATTATTAATAAAAACATTTTAACTTAATATTTTGTTTTATTAGACTTTTATTAAAATACCTTAAATTAAAAATATTATTTTAAGCGCCATCTGTGGAAAGATAAAAGAAACAACTTTTTATAAACAGTTTGAAATAGTATCGTAGTAAAATTATAGATGGCGCTATAGCGCCATATACTTATAAGTAATAAATATCATAACATTTAGAAGAAATTGTGAAAATTGCAACAATCTCAACCAGAACCCTGAAATAGTTCTTACTATACTAGTACAGATACCACCCCATGCTCAGAAATTGGACAGTGCTTATTTGGGCTATTTTTTGTCTGAATAGATAAATGACAGATGTCATTAATTCAAAAAATAACTACCTACCTATTTTATAAATACGTCTAAAGCAACAATATTTATGATAAATCTGAAAAATATTATCTATTATACAGATAAAAAAATGAGAGTTTGTAATGCCAAATTAACAGCTTTTTACTAAATGCATATGAAATTACGGTAGGTACTAGAAAGAACAACATGATTTCTAAAAAAATTGTCTGTCTGTCTGTTTGTTCCGGCTAATCTCCGAAACGGCTAGACTGATTTTGACGGGATTTTCACTGGCAGATAGCTGGTGTTATAGGAATAACTTAGGCTACTTTTATTTCATAAAAAGAATTAGGATTCCGCTCAAAAAAAATAAAACGTACCTAGGGCCGCTGCACCCAAGCGAAGCGAGCGATATATCTTTATATATATAATTCTTCTGTGAGTGTGTATGTCACTGAACTTCTCTCAAACGACTGGACCGATTTTGATGAAATTTTTTGTGTGTGTTCAAGGGGATCTGGGAATGGTTTAGATTCACAATTTGAATAATAATTTTCATCAAAAAAATTATTAAAAAAAGTTTGGAATTTTCAAATTAAAGACGAGAGGCAACGTCTGTCGGGTCCGCTAGTAAGTATATATTGTCCTGAATATAATTGAAAAAAAAATATATAAAATTAGTCTGAAAATTAAAAAAGAGGACACTAACTAACTTTTTGGGTTTTTCACGCTTTCAAACAAAACAAAAATTGTCCAAATCGATTAATAAATGACGGAGTTCTGAGGTAAAAAACATAAAAAAAACATACAGCCGAATTGAGAACCTCCTCCTTTTTGAGGAAGTCGGTTGAAAATATAAGGAAAAATCACATTCAAATCATATCATAATAATCATCAATGTATATAGTGCCTAAATAAAACTTATCTATAATATATGTACATACATATTATCTTAGCGGAAAAGTAATAATTGGCTTGTATATTTTTTGTCTTATTACGTGACGTTTTCGCTAATTGATATACGGTTATTATATTTTTTAATGAATTAATTGTAATTAGATAGTTAGATTTTTTAAATATCTATAGATAATAATTATTAATCGTTGTGACAATCTCAAGAGATGAAAATACCAAGTACATTGCTCATCTATATTAATATTATTCTATACTAATCCATACTAATATAAGTATAATATATCTATACTAAGTAATATTAAAAATGCGAAAGTTTGTGAGGATGTATAGATGTTTGTTACTCTTTAACGCAAAAACTACTCAGTGGATTTTTATGAAACTTCAATAATATAGCATATATTATATATGTATAATAATACACATACTGTTCCCGTGGGATAGATTTGATTTTGTCTAGGGACCAAGCGGAACCGAAGCGAGGGTGAGTCGCTAGTTTTATATAAAGCTGAACAGTTTGGCTGTTTACTGGTCTGCTCGCGGCTTCGCTCGTGTGGTAAGTAGAGCGGGGATCAAAGGTCCTTACCAAATTTTATTGAAATCTGTTCCACGGTTTAAGCGAAAATAACAGACTATAGGCTATCTTATATAACATTAAAACCTTTGAGAGCGTTGTTATCTATACTAATATTATAAAGATGTAAAGTTTGTGAGTTTGTGAATTGTGAGTTTGTGAGTTTGTGACGTTGTAGGAGGTAATCTTTGGATCTACTCAACCAATTTACATGAAATTTAGTAAGAAGATAGTTTGAGACCCTGAGAAGGACATAGGATACTTTTTATCCTGGAAATCATCCCTTAAAGGGGTGAAAATGGGGATGAAAGTTTGTATGGGGAACCAACCTAGGGATGAACCCGAGCGAAGCGAGGGTGAGTCGCTAGTTCTTCATAATTATACGACTAGGGAGCTAATATTTGGGTACAGTTAGAGCCAATTTTAGCGGAGAATCAATCAACAATACAAGAGAGAAATTTCTAGTTGTTCTAAATTCCTTTATTATGTGTAATCAATGAACGCAAATAAAAAAAAGGAAAGCAATAAGGGCTTCTTTAATTTCAGTTCACATTAATTATTAGCTACGGCTTCTTATACTAAGTCTGCTATTTTATTTATTTATTATTTATTTTATTTTTCTTATACTAATATTGCTAAAATTGTAGGTAGGTAAGTACATAAAGAAATCGATTTTTATCCTTTACAAACATTTCTCAAACAATAACAAAACATAGAAAAAATAATACTTTCTTAGATTTACGCGAATATTTAAAATAAAACTATCTTTTCGGATTTTTTCGCGGATTCATTTTGATTTTTGGTTCCCGATGTTTCGAATGCTTTACAGCAATCATGGTCACTTAAAATATTGAACAAACTCCTGTTTGAAGCTGAATATTATCATATTTTTTTATTTCCTTTTGGAAATGGCTAAAGCAATATATAAACGATAAGAGGAATGTTTTTATAATTATAAATTACCTATAATTAGGTAGCTTAATCGGTTAGTTAGTTGATACAACATAAATGAGTGTACCTAGATACCTAATGTATAGGTTATTTAAGGTTATCAAAGAAAAAATGAAAATTACTTTTAAAGTAATGAATAATTTAACCGACTTCTCAATAAATTTATTTCACTCTTATCGGTGGTATTTTATATGAGAATGTGCATTATAATAATAACTATTTATGTTCAAATAAAATAAAATCCAAACATAATTATGTTATTGAAAATTTTACGAATAAGTTTATGAAAAAAACTATCGATATAAAAAACAAGCCGTTTCCATAATAGTTTTTATTGATAACCTAAAGCTCGGCAATAGCTACTAAATAAAAAGAAAAAGAAAATTCGTTAACAAACAGATGAGAAAATTGTACTGAACTGTTTTGTCTTTATCTATTTATAATATAGATTATAAATAATTACTAAAAAAAATAACTAAAACGAAAAAGTGAATCTCTTGAGCAATTTTGATGTATAGGACTCGTCAAAACTAATTAAATCAGTAAAAATTCAAATATTTTACTAAAGGCCATTGTAGAGTTTTACCATCCACCTCCTGGCTCCCTCATTAGAAAAGCTCGATTGTATCAAATTATTTTATAATTGGAACTTATAAAGTTCAAATTTTTATGCAACAATTGGAAGTAGGGTAAAATCCTTTTCAAAGATTTAATTACAGAAAGACGGCTATAATTGTTTATTGAATTAATCTTAGAAAGCCTAAAATGCTGCTGATTATATCTATCTAAACTAGCACTACCCGCGGTTCCGCCCGTGTTCAGATGACAAAAAACCAAATTCTTAGGTTTTACATATTAGTATATTCTTACGTTGCAGTTTTTGTATTTTTTCTCAGACATGAGATATTTTCCCGCGGTAAAAAGTATCCTATATGTTGACCCGAATAACCAGCTATATCCATACCAAATTTCATCAAAATCCCTCCAGTGGTTTTTCTGTGATGCGGTAACAGACAGACAAACACACAGATAAAAATTCTAAAAAATATAGATTCGGCCTCTGTATCGATAATAATATTTATTTCAATAAGATTATCCAAAAAATATCTAAAGTACAGATTCAGCTTGGTTACAATTTTATTATTTATAGATTTCATCCAAATCCCTCAATGATGGTTCCAGCAGTTTCAACGTAAAGGGGTAACAAACATAGACACATACACTATCACATTTATAATAGTTGTGTGATAAATGTTATATTATGTATTAGTCGTAAAGAACTAACGTGATAGTTTCATACTTGAAATATCACTATGTATAATGTTACTATAGGTAGCTAAATTTTACTTTATTGTCTACATGATTAGATTGTCTCAGTTCTAGGGCATCCTTGCCGTACGACAATGGACTGAGATCTAAATTAATATGAAGTGATTCTAACAAGTGAAGTTTTAGTGTTTTCTAAAATAAAACAAGCAATTTTTTTCAATGAAATAATGCGTTATTTGTGTTATTTATCACTAATTTGATAAGAGTCTACATATACTACTTTGTTCTAATTGTACACTAGCTATAGTCAGTGACTTGCGTGCGTATTTAAAAAATATTATTATACTAGCGGCTCACCCTCGCTTCGCTCGGGTTCGCCTTTAGAAAACAAAAATAAATCTATCCCACGGGACCCGTATTTTTCTCCGAGATAAAAAGTAGTCTATATGTTATTCTGCTGTATGAGCTATATTATTTTAAGGTTTCATTAAAATCCATTCAGTAGTTTTTACGTGAAAGAGTGACAAACATCTTTATATCAATACATCTAGACATCCATACATCCTCACAAACTTTCGTATTTATAATATTAGTATAGATTTAAAAAATCTAAATTTATGATTTCAACTAGAAGGTATTTTAGTTTTGTTAATTTCACGTCATTACAATGTTTTCTAACTTATGTACTTGTAAAAGACATAAATAATATGAATTACATTTCCGTGTACCCAGCATACTTAAATATGTTTAATTTTTATTACAGAAACTGTAAAAATGTTATTGATTTCTACATAAAAGTAAAAGTCAATCAGTAAAACTGCGTTAAAATATAATAATTTTACTAATTAAAAGTTAACCTGTGGTTTTTAAAGAAAAATATTTTTGCTTAAATTAAAAAAAATTACTTAAAAAAAATCAACTTAACACTTGCCTGATTGCTTGCTTGCTTGATGCTTCCCCGTATGTTCTTTTTAGAAGATATTTTAACACACGCAGGAATGAGACGATGATCCCAACATTTCTTCAAAAATGTTAAATATGTTAATAACTTGTTAATCGTGCGCGCTTTGGCTTAAGATCTTCTAACCGGCGTATTTAGTTAGCGATTTCCAGTCTGTACTGGTTTACATAGTACCTACTTGCTTAGATTTTCGCGATATTCGACATGGAGTCTCTCCCGTATCCATGATTGCTGTAAAGCATTAGAAACATAGTTTTGTTTAAAATTTCAAATATTCCCATAACTGTAAGAAAGTATTAAAAGGATCATATCGTAGGAAAATATGTAACATATCAACTTTCCATATACTTAATCAATAAAACTAAATCTGTAGAGATTGACCTTTCAACATCATACATATAAAAAAGTGACGTCATAACATGATCGTCAACTCCAAGAATGAGATTATAATTCAGCATTGATGTAATTTCAAAATAAATATTTATATATTCAAATTCAAGGCAGTGGTAGCCCTATGGCAACGTGCGCGTCGAAGCCGAATGAAACCGGTTCAAATCCCGGGTCTCGCATTATATAAAATTTTCATATGCGAATCATTTCTAACATGATTACCGTTTGTCTTACGGCGAAGGAAGAAATCATGAGGACCTCGTGATCGTGAGGATCTGAGAGAACCTAGCAAATTTTCGAATCTGACACGATCCCCCTCGTATTGAAGAGAGGTCAAGCAGTGGGACGTTAAACAGGAATGAATACCATACAATTCAATTCAAATACAATATTTTTCTTTACATTTATTGATATTATGGTAGGTCGTTGCGTGAAATTACACGCGTACAGTCAGGCAGTAGCATGTAAAAAAGGACCAAAAATAAAATATTATTAATCATTCATGAGTAATATTAATAATACGTACAAGTAAAAAAACCTTTACATATTCCGGTTTTAGTTCTTATTATCTTAAACCGGTAGACAATTTAAGTCTATATAAGACTCGCGATGCTTCAAAATAAATATTTCTTAGCATTTTCTTTAACAGTAATGGTCGCCTTTATTTATTTTGTTGTTTATCTTATTTTAAATGGGTAAGTGTTAGTGAGAGTTTTTTTTTGAAAACTTATTTTGTTTATATATTTTAGTATAATATTATTTTTAAACTTAATTAATTTATATGATATGGTTATTCAAAAAATAATTGTAAAAAAAAAACTTTTTTTTACACAAACTCTTATTTAAATGCTTTAATTTAAAGTTTATTTTTTTCTTTTTATAGCATTTAAATAAAAATGTTTTTTTTAAATGCTTGTTTTAAAAAATGTTTTTTATATAACTATTGTATTTTAATTTTTTTGTTATTTGTGTTCTTCTCAGCAAATTCTTTAATTTTATATCCATGCATTATCATCCAAAGTTAACGTGAATGCAAAATTTCAGCTCAATCGGTTGAGAATAAAGATTTGACCCAAACTAACATACTAACACGGCAAGTTAAATAAAAACTTGTAATAATAACAGAAAGTTATATAATTCGATCGAGCCCGGTTTTGGGAACACGGTAGTGATTTAAACCAAGTGTCTCTTATTTAATTGTCATTTATATTTTTCAAAAGATTTCATGGAGCAGCAACAAATAAAAAACTCATAATAGATCAAGATGGAGGTGCTGACGATGCTATGGCAATATTCATGGGAGTACTGAACGAAAAATATTTTCAAGGGTAAAATTTTTTGTTTCTAGTATAAAATGTATTTTTTTTATAATTTAATAATAATTTGTTAAAAATATTGTAGTTTTGTGTTTGTTTTACGAATCTGTATGAACGTTATCTTAGTAGTAGAAAGTAATACTAGCTTTGCTCCATCTTCTATATGTATATTTAACTAAATCCATTGAGTTCTTAGGGCTCTACTTAATAAATATAAACCAATAATACTTTCTTAGATTTACGCGAATATTTGACATTTTAAATAAAACCATCTTTTCAGATTTATTCGCGAATTTATTTTGATTTTTGGTTCCCAACGTTTCCAATGCCTTATAGCAATCATGGTCACAGGAGAGGCCAAGGTTTAAGATATCTCAAAGGCATTATTAATTTAGAGTTATTATATATTATTATTATAGTTTTTACAAATAGCCTACCCACAAAATAACAAAAAGAATTCATAAAATTCAAAAATGGCATCAAAGTACCTTACAATATTTGTTAATTTTAATTTTAAACATTTTTATAATTCCAATAAGTTTTACAATTGAATATGGAATATTATTTATTTAATTTTGGCTGATATAATAAACCAAACTAAGCTTAAATATACCTGTATATAATATTATGTAGTATATATACTTATAATCACGTATACATATGCATCATAATCATAAAGAAGTAAGCCTCGTAAAATAAAGAAGACGGTAGTTTGTAAAATCAATATTTTAGCATTTATTATATATGTTTATTGAATTAACTTTGACATTTCCATAATATTTATATATACAGTTTTTTATGTATATGACAAAAAAAAGTTTAAATATAATTAATTTTTCAGGCCAGAAATAGTAGCAATAACTACAACACATGGCAATGTTGATGAGAAGCAAGCTTTTAATAATACACAAAGAATACTGACTGTTGCAGACAGGAGAGATGTAAATAAGTAATCTTTATTTGTCTATAAATAGTATCGTAGTTGATTCACAAACCTATTAAATGATTCACAAACCATTTAAGGTCTATGGAAGGCTTAAGGCCTTAATGCATAAATAACTTTATCAATGCCAAGAATCTTTAAGTGCGAATTTTCCTTTCCTATTCAAACGCTATTATTATCGAGTGTTCGTTTAAAAAAAACGGCGAAGTTCTAGGTGATTTTGCGCACCGAAAATTCTAAATAGATACAAATATATTACATAGTACTGTATTTTTTGTGTATGTGTTATCCGATATCATCAATCTCAAATAAATTCAACTCCCTAATGGTCGAATATTTACATTTAAATGGTTTTGAAGTCGGTGTAAATTTTGAAAAGTTATAATTATTTTGTTTTACTTCATATTATTGTGTAATGCATGCTTTAGGTTTTGCCATGATTATGCCAAATTTGACGCTTGAATAGAGCAAACGCAAAAATACATATATGCTATAAACTAGTGGCTCACTCTCACTTCGCTCGGTTTCACCTCTAGAAAAAAAAACAAATCTATCTCTATAACATCTCCTGCGCAGTTCACTAGTGTCAACGAGATTGAACGCCTTGGCTAAAATCGAATGGGAGAACATAATACTAAACATATATTTTTACTTTCACCCAGATTCCTATATACAGAGGTAGTTCGAGTTCCTTAATACGTAACTATCCATCAGATAATTTTTTTGGTTATGATGGACTTGGTGATACTTTAAAAGAGGATTTCAAACCAATTGCTGCTCAAAAAGATCATGCTGTATTTGGACTTATTGAGATGTCCAAGAAATTTAAAGGTAAGGCCATACTGTATCTATACAGATAAATAAAATTGAAGTGTCTGTTTGTAATGTCAAACTAATAGCGTTTTACTAAATGCATATGAAATTATATACGGTACTTATACCTACTTAAAACACAATTTTTAAAATGTTTGTCTGTCTGTTTGTTCCGGATAATCTCTGAAACGGCTGGACTGATTTTGACGGGACTTTTACTGGAAGATAGCTGATGTTATACGGAATAACATAGACTACTCTGATTTTAGAAAAAGAGTTAGGGTTCCGCTCAAAAAAATTAAAATGTACCTAGCGATGGATGGATAACGATGAATGGACGAACCCGAGCTAAGCGAGGCTGAGTCGCTAGTTTTTTATAAAAACTGATATCGGTCGACATAACCATCAATTTCTTGCTGATATATATTTAAAAATACTATTTCTTTCTGTTTCATTAAGCATAAGATAATGAAAAGTTGATCTACTTAATTTTTTTAATGATATATTAAAATACTTGACATAATATGTATAATTCCTCAGCAAAACTAAGGTTGACCGCTAAATATTTATTTTTAACTGAAACAATTAAATTGTACTATATTTAAAAAAAAAACAAGTAAATTCGTTATATTTTATCAATGGTTTTGTCCCATAATTGAATAAACATTTATCTATGATTTTACAGGAGAACTTATTATAGTGACTTTGGGTGCTCTGACAAACATTGCTTTGGCAAAAAAAATTGATCCTGACTTTATGTCAAGATTGTCCCATTTATATATTGCAGCTGGACATATATACAGTAAGATAAAAATAATATTATGTTTTATTTAAAAATATTTAAAAAATATGTTCAATATTGTAGTATAATATGTAATCTATACATATAATAAAATTGTAACTAAGCCGAATCTGTACATTAAATATTTTTTGGAAAATCTTATTGAAATAAACATTATTATCGATACAGAGGCCGAATCTATAGTTTTTAGAATTTTTGTCTGTCTGTCTGTCTGTTACCGCATCACACAAAAACCACTGGAGGGATTTTGATGAAATTTGATATGGTGATTTGATATGGTTATCCGGGTCCACATATAGGATACTTTTTACCGCGGGAAAATATTTCATTTCTGAGAAAAAATACAAAAACTGCAATCTAAGAGTATATTAATAGGTAAAACCAAAGAATTTGGTTTTTGGACATCTGAACGAGGGCAGAGCCGCGGGCAATGGTAGTATATAATATGTATGGTAATAGCATGGTGTCGTGTGATTCCCAAAACAAAAATGTGGTTTAAGAAATTTAAAGATATCGTTTTAAATAGGTGATGATTTCCAAGAACCAGAATTCAATGCGCTTAGAGACGTGGAATCATACCGTATAGTATTGGAAAAGAGTGATCCTGAAAAAACAACTGTAATTCCGTTTTCACAGATTCTTGAATATCAAAATATTTCTAAGGTAATAAATACTCTATATAGATTTAAGTATATTAGATAGTGCCATTTGTTCATTCTGATATTTTTTCTAAATTGATTACCTTTTTAATTGAATCACTTTATTGTGCTCATTCCATTTGACCGTTTTGGAAAATGATACTAAAAATTATCAAAATAATATACCAAAACTAACAACAACAAACTTTATTACAGGAATGGAGACAAGACATTTTAGGAAGTATTAATACAAAAATAATGCGAAACCAAAATATATATGAAACAAAGTCTTTAAACAGTAGTTCTTCTTGGAGTCTTCTAGATCCTTCTGCTATGGCAATAGCTTTAAATGAAGACTTAATTGTTAAAGATACACTTTATTCTAAGAATGATATTATTTTGTGTGGTAAGTTTGCTTAAAATCATAAATTAAACTAGTAAAAATTAATTATTTTTCTCTTTTCAATAAGGATGGAGGTTATCAATTAATGAATAAATATTTATTTAACTTAGATTATTAATTCGTACTAATTGCCTTTATAATTGAATTTAAAAAATAGTTTTTTAACAGTTATTTTCTAGTTTCTAAACTTTTTCTAAACAAAGACTAACTTTGAAAATACAAAAATATTGTACGTCTTTAGATGCCCAGCCTATGTGCTATTCCAGGTCATAAATCTATCTATGTGCTAAATTTCATTTAAATCCGTCTACTTATTTCAAAGTGAAGGAGTAAGAAACATAGACGTACAGACACAAACTTTCATATTAATATAATAATCCGATAATATTGAATATACTTCTTAAATAGACTTGGCTCTAGCATCTCCGCGCCGTGCTGATCGTGCATATCTTTTAGTATATTTTAGTTGCTTATAATTTTAGTAATAATGTATAAAACAACGGACGAATTAAAATCCCTAAAAAGTTGAAAAGCTGTTGATTTGCTTTATATTGATAATATTTAAAACGTTTGCAAATATTTATAGACAATATTTTTAAATGACGTGATATTTACAACAAGTTAGTTCTTTTAAGAAATTTGTTACATATAGGTCACAGATCATATAATATTATAACAATAGCATTCCCAAGGAGGGTTGATGTCAGGCAGGCGGCCGGTCGTAAAGCTTTTGCCAAATCCTATCAGCAGTATGGAAGATGTACTGCGCCGACCCCAAGTGATTGGGAAATGGGCAGGGAGATGATGAGATCATATAATACTATACAAGTATTTAGATGTTTAGATATACTTAGTGCCTAGCAAAATGAAGTACTAAATGATAAACTCATTGTTCTTATAAAAGTATTATTATGCATAATTTAAACCCTTATCAAAGGCATAAGATAAGTGCTTCTTATCACCGATACAACTATCTTTAACTACGTAGCTTTTACATCTATACCTATGTTAATAATAACTCACTTATTAACATAGATCGATAAAGAAAAATATCTTTAGAGTCGGAGACAAAGTGTCCAATATCGTATGTTGAAATATTTTTCTAAATAAATATACAATTTTTAATGCCCTATAGTTTTTCGAACTCTAACGATGAGATATTTTCCCGCAATAAAAAGTATCCTATTTTTTTTTTTTTAACGTTGGGAAATGCATTTACGCACGACGTGTGGGACTCACCGACGTAATACAGCCAGTACTACCCACTAAAACCCAACAAAACCTTCCCCCGTCTTAATGGGGCGTCGCAGGATCGCTTACGCATTCAACTACGACGCCCCGACGGCAGGTCTGCCGAAATAGACCACCACAACCATGGGGTTGCTCCACAGTCCACTCTGCTATCAGAGAAGTACCAGGAGCAACCCGCATGGTACACCGCCCTCCGAAGAGGGCCACCTCCCACCGCCCACCGAAGTGGGCAACCTGTGCGTTTCTTAGCTTCGCGCCCGGTTGGATTGCCGGGCACTACTGAGCCCCCCCATATGTTGACCCGGATAACCAGCTATCACCATACCAAATTTCATTAAAATGTCATGTGGTTTTTCCAAATTTTATTATATATATGTATAGATATTAAAAATATGGTATGAAGCGTGAGCTCGCCCATATTTCAACGATATTTCATCTATTTTGGACGCGTGCTAAATTTTACGCACTCTGTGAGACGTTTTTGATACATAAATATGTATATAAATAGCTTATACAAGTACTCAAAAAATGAACTAGTAACATTTCTCTACGGCCTTACTATGCAATAAATAACACACGAAGATAAGGCGAATACAAAATTTCGATAAAAATATTTATATTAGTAAAATCACAGTAAAATTCAAAACACCAAAACAAGATTTCATTTATCGCATGATAAGTCGTGGGACCTATGGCATCTTAACATAAAGGAGAAGCACTTTAGCAAGTTATCAGACTTTTTGCTGAAATGTCTGAATAGATTAAGAAAGAATTTAGTACATAGATAGACGACCTGCAGTGTACCGTGACCCTACGGTCATTTTGTAAAATATTAGGTTATGCTACTGTTAGGTTAGTAAGATACAAGTAACGAACACTGTTCCTAACATATATTCACTTTCAGGAGAAAAACGAGGCGTGAACACCAATGACTTCACATCAACAACAGATGCCAATTGCAAAGTAGTATATAAAGTCCGAAAACACGAATACAAACAATTTTTATATGATTTATTTTCAGCCGAGTTGTATAATTAGTCATTTTAACTAAAAACACTAAATATTGCACAACAATCCTTAAAGATATCTGTTGGAACCTAACACCTAAAGGTATATTTCTAAGAAATTAATTAAACTAAGAAATCTATTGTTAACTGTAACGCCGGCGTGTCCGCGGTCGTGGAGGGATTAAATAAAATAAATCTTACACCTTTAAGGTTCCTTACTTTAAAATAAAAAAATCGAAACCCGTGTATTTGTGTCTGCTTGTCTGTCCGTTTGTCACATTAGATTACTCAATGTACTGTACAGATACAGTTGAAATGTAAGAGATACTCGTAGGGGCGGAGTATATGTTGTGATAAGGAAAATATGTATAGACTAGCGACACATCCTCGCTCTGCTCGAGTTCGTTCCTGGGAATTTTCAAATTTCACAAATTTTATCAAAATATGTCCAGTGGTTTTCTAGTAATGCGGTCACAGACAGACAGACAGGCATAAACTATAGATTCATCTTCTGTGTCGATAATAATGACTATTTCAATAAGATTTTCCAAAAAAAATATTAAATGTATAGGTTTGACTCAGATTGACTCAGAATTTTATTATGTATATGTATAGATAAAGGTATATTTTTGTATATTTTTAAAATATATTATAGATGATCGATAAAAGGGAATGCTCCCTTATTTATCTGTGAAACTGCCTAAGACTTCACAGAAAAAAGATTATAAAACCTCTCTGTAATTATTTAAATTTCATTAATGTTCAATAAACGGAGCCTCTTTTACACGTTAGTCTTAATAGTAGGTACTTCATTATTTTTCATATTTTGTTTTCTTATTTTACTACTTACTACTTTGTTAAAAATATTTTTTAGAAATATAATGTGATTGATTACCAACGAATTATATTTTCTTTATCTAATGTTTCTTTAAATATTATACGAGCGAAGTTTAGGAATGCACAGAGGACAAACATACGTACCAAAGAAAAAATCTTTTTTTGGAGCGTACGATCCAGAATAAATCCGCAAAATTTCATCATAATCGGATAAATGAAGACAAATATTTCACTCAATTCTCTGCGACTTAGACGTTCGTAGCTCAGTTTATTTTGGGAACTACACATGAAATGGAGAAGACACAGAAGAGATGATTCGGTACGTAATACATAAAAATTCCTTGAAACCTGTGAATTGAAAAAATGTTAAAATAAGAAATTTCTGTCTCATATAAGTACATATATAAAGCCCAAGTTTCCTTTGTTTTTCTTATGGTACCTTTATTATCAACGTTATTTATAATTGAATGTTATTTAACATATTATCTTTCCCATTTATATGCGATTTTGGCAAAATAAAGAATACGTGTCAATTAATTGTTATTATTATTTATTCAATTAATTATTCATCTAATCAATTAATTATTCTGTGGCTTATAGGCGTGTCATTTGGGCACAGTTTACTGCACCAATGTTGTGTAGTGTATTTTTTCTCCCCTTAGTTTTAAGGTAAAATATTTTGGCACTAAATAATAAAAATATTTTTATGAATGAATTGCATTATCTGTATTTATTTATAGCAGTCACGATATGACTCACCAGTTATACAGTCAGTGTTCAAACTTCGAAGACGTTTAAGGATAACAAAGAATATGAACAATAAAACAGTATTTTCAAGTCCATTCTATTAAATTTTTCAAAAATTGGGTCTAAAATGCAGTGTTTGAGGTACGTGTGTGATTCAGTGTTGAATATCACTTATTAGATGAAAAGGTAGGTAGTGAATATGGGAAATATACGAAGTGATTTGTTGATAAGCAATGTATCCTTTGTAGATATAACAAAGACATAAACCACAAATGACGTGAATCTCAGTGCCCTGAGAAGCTGCAAAAATGCTGAAATGGCAGAAGTGGAACTCTAATAGTCTCTACTCTTACAATTTCGTTTTGCCTATCTGTACGCCCGTCTGTATCATACAACTATTTTACGTGACACTATTGGTAGTATATGATACATTTAATTTAGAAGGTAGATTAATATAAATTGCTGTGCAATAGTGTCACTTAGTGAAAATTCTCATTTGATTATTTGCACAATATCAAAATATTAATCCCTGCACAACCGCGGACACGCCGGCGTGGCCGGCGTGTCAGTTAACAATAGATTTCTTAGAATTTTAATTAATAGAAATTTACCAGGAGTTGTGAGACTTTAATGGTATTTTATCCGACTAACAGGTAATATATTATAAATAACGGTTAAGTGATAAAGGTTATTATATAACATCTCACCCTGTCACCATTCATACTTGGCGATGATAATCTGTAAAAACTATCTCTCCGGTCAAAATCTGCGGATCTGATCAGTGAGAGCCATGACCTCACTTTGCCTTTCCGCGGTTACATTTTAGTGCAACTCTTATCAGCGATTGAGAGGGATACCATCGCCAAATAATAATATCACTGTCTAGAAAGACTGTTGGAATAATTTTCTTTAAGATTTAAGTTACATGTAAAAAAATACTAAATAATAAAAATAAAACAACGGTACAGTTAAATAGGCTAATAAATAACGTTTTATTAGTTAACTTGTTGTCGTTATCTTTAAGTACAAATCAAGACAATCAAATATTTATGTACCTACTTAAGAACAATACGACGTAAAAGACATTTGACATTTATTATCAATTGTGTAAAACGGTTACCAACTTATTTTGTGGTTTAGACACAATTAATAAACAATTTATGTGCGTAAATAGATGAAACAATGCTTGTAAGCAAGTAATACTTGGTCAAGTTAAGGCAATAAAAACAAACACTAAACAATATTGCCAACCTCGAAATATTTGTCAAGGATTGACTTAAAAATTGAATCGATTTTATGACATCTGTCACATGATTTTCAACATTCTCTGTTGGGATTCTAAGTTTATGTTTATCTGTATAAATGATTGATTTAGTTATTACTTATTTGTTAATTTTACATATTTAACATTAAAAGTCAAAACTTTTTGAACGTCGAAGACATGTCGTGTTGCAAACCGTTCAGTAGATGTTCACATTCACGTTCAGGTGCATAACCGTAATTATTCATCTAGAAGATATTACTATTGAATTGTCAACATCGCTGAAACCAGCGTCTATTTCTACTACAGCCACTTTATGGGCCTTTTTGTTCATAATAATATAAGAAGTTATCATTCGTCTCGTATATTCTATATAAACAATTTTCAAGTGAGAAATGGAAAAAACAACCGAATGAAGCTACATACATCTAGGTGTATTAGAATATGTATTAAATGTTATGACAATGGCCATGCCGTTTGCTTATACATAGTACATACATAGTAACTGGGAAATGGGCAGGGAGATGATGATAATATAATATCATCATCATCACCCTGCCCATTTCCCAATCACTTGAGGTTCTTCTCATCTTACGTACTTTGGCAAAAGTTTTACGATCGGCCGCCTACTTGACATCAACCCTCCTTAGGAATGCTATTGTTTATCTCGGACGTGTTATAATATGCACATTCAAACATTTTTTATTATATTACTCAAAGTTTTAATGTAATACATAGATACATATTTTATTATTATATTAATTTTGATTTATTATTCTATATCTTTAAAGTGGGCAATGTCAATGAGCCACTATCAGTGCTGATCTTACGATCTTATGTCACAGTCAGTCTTTTATCTGACGTGAATTGAAGTTATCGTTTTATTTGTTAGTATTATGATTAAGTTATTTTTTGTAGTACAATTTATATGTTTTGTGTATTGTAATAATGTAAGGTATGTGATACTTTCAATTTAAGAACGCTTCTTCTTATAAGTATTAGATATGAGTGTTAAAGTAGATTTTTATATGGAGGCAAAAGTGTCTAAGCCCTTAGACATCTGTTTCATATCGTAAGTGTAAATAAAGTAGGTAAGTATATAAAGTTTGTCACAACTTTTGTAGAATATTACTGTATTTCGAAAGTCACTATAAAGTTTATGATGATTTTTGCCTCTTAGGCTTGTGCAAATCGGCAGATTATTAAAATGGACACTTTTCAGGATGTGACTAGCCTACCACACCTTAATCTGACGGTTTCAAGTATTTCTACCTTATCAAAACATTTTTTAAATATTTTAATCGGCTTCCCTAGACGCGCCCCTTTATATAGAAGACTTATATTGTGGTGAAAGTACTCAATAGAGTGCAAGGTAACCTCTTTTATGTTAATCTGCCGCGCTCGAGTAACTACAGAAAATCCCTTCTTGGGCTCCCCTACTATAGGTATATTATACTAATAATTTTTAATAATTTTGTGAAACTGAAGAAAATGTAGATTATTTATTGTTAATACAAATTTATTTATTTATTCATGTGTACTATTTAACTTATTCTAACAGATTCTGTTAGCCACTTGGCGTATTTATTTCTATTAAGGCCACGACTATAATACACAACCCGACCTGACCTTTCTATAGATTACCTACAGAAGAACGTAGAACTGGGCTATTTTGCTTATCTACTCGAGTTATAGAAACGAAACTTGCTATTTTTTCCATATGAAGTATTTGATACTTTGATGTCACGTCATATTTTGGCGAATTTGTAAACTGAGTTTATATAATTTTCTTTCATTGAGAGAGTATAAGAGCCCCTAGTAAGGCCATATATATAATATATAAATAAATTTCAAAAATGATAGAATGATTGATTTCGTAGTGGGTGTTTTATGAAAATTTGTTAAAATAATTATCATTTATTTAACTGGGTTTAGTTTGTTCTCTGTTTGTAGTATATATGGATATTGTTTGTGTATTCGGCCCTTTTTTAACGTCCCACTGCTGGGCACGGGCCTCCCTTTTAATACGAGGGGGATCAGGCCATAGTACACCACGCTGGCCAAGTGCGGGTTGGCGGACTTCACATGTCTTTCAAAAACTTGTTAGGTTCGAGAGAACATGTCTGAGAAGACATGCAGGTTTCCTCACGATCTTTTCCTTCACCATAATGCAAGCGGCAATCATGTTAGAAATGATTCGCACATGAAAATATCAGAGGTGCGAGACCCGGGATTTGAACCCGCATCACTCGGTGTCCCAAGCGAGCGCGTTACCACTGGGCTACCACTGCGTCATGGAATATGGATATATTGTATGCGTAAATATATTATTCAGTATCATAAAAAAATTAATTACCTTTTTTTCAGTGATAATTCACCGAAAATACTTATCGACAACGATGCAGGCGGTGACGATGCGATGGCCATATTTTTGGCTTTACTTTGTGAAAAGCATTTTAATGGGTCTGTATCATAAAAAAACAACAATAAATGTACAGTAAATTATTTCAATATTATAATATTAAAAGATGTCGGATTTCGGCAATGTCGGCCAATCTCACAGAGATTAGCCAACTGCACAGGAGATATTATAGTGCACAAGTGTACGGCTTTACGTGTTACCTTACCCAAGGCATGGAGGTGAAACACCGCCAACTTCTCAACTATTATATGAGATTCCCTTAACGTAAGGACTCAATGTTAAGCCCGACGGGTGACTCGGACCTAGAACCTACGGATGTACAGCCGTACATACTAGCCACTAGACCACACACGTAACACACTAGTATTCGCATGCGGTTCTGCTTGCGTAGTATGCTCATAAAAATAGTTTTACTGATAGCTGCAACTGCAATTTTCTAAAAGGAAAAGATATTTTAAAACAAAGAAATAAACATACTAACCAAGAATATTTTTAATAAAAAAACCTACTAAGCCATGTTATAAATGCCAAGGTTAGTAAGTATATTTATTATTTCTTTATTTTACTATTCAATAAATCTAACTCAGATTGGAGATATCTTATTTCCTGTATTAACATAGCATGTTTTACTTATGCAACTATTATGCGAGGGAAGCCACTGGTTATAACTAGTGAATTCATATTATAATGCCAAATGTACACCGTTTTATCATACTTCATATTCATGTCGTAGCAGATGAAACAATTTCGCACGTACCTATTATCATTTTATTTAAAACCACTTTAAATGACCAATGTATGTATATTATGATGTAGTGCGATATAGCTCTGAGTTTTAACTGTTATTTTGGACATACACAATCGATTGAAATGAGACTAAACAACTACATAACACTACTGGAAGAGATCGCTCTTTTAGCGATAAGGTCACCGATTGCATACTTTTAATACCTAACTGCCTGGTTGGCTTATTGGCTTATGGCTAGCATACAGCTGCAGATCTAGCAGTCCTAGGTGCGAGTCCCGCGTTACGTAAATTATTATTATTATTAGGTTATTTTCTATCAGAAAATACTCAGTAACAGCCAGGAATTGGGAAGTTGTCGGTGTTATGTGCTCGTGACTCGGAGAGCATGTAAAGCCATGGGCCTTACGTCTGATCTCTGTCACCGGAATTCCACTGAAATTGTTGTCTCACCAGCGTTTGACAGTGAACAGAATATTTTGAGACAGAACTTGATGACACTTTTGGCTTAGTTCGTAGTGACCCTACTTACTGTGCCAGCGGCCGCGGGTTCGAGTCCCGCTGGAGGCATTCATTTGTGTGATGAGCACGAATGTTTGTACTCCAGTCATGAGTGTTTATATTTATAATTATATGTATTTAAAGTTATATATGTGTAGTGTATCAACTATCTGGTATCGTAGCTTACAATGAAACTATATGGTGCTGTGTTAATGTCCCAACAAAAAAAAATACAAAACGCACTTGTGTTTGCCTTTCATACGTGTGCACTCTGCACTACTTCTGCATGGTTAGTCTCAGTGAGCTTGGCCGCTGTGGCCGAAATAAGTCAAGTCATTATTATTATAACTTCTTATTTCTTATATTTAACTTCTAATTTTCTTTGTATTTATCTGGTGTAGGTACTGTAAAACATATTTAATCTATGTATACCTTTAATAAAATTGTAACTGAATCGAATCTGTACATTGAATATTTTTTGGAAGATCTTATTGAAATAGTCATTATTATCGATACAGAAGCCGAATCTATAGTTTTTAGATTTTTGTCTGTTTGTCGGTCCGTCTGTCTGTGACCGCATCACGAGAAAACCACTGGACAGATTTTAATGGACTTTGGTATGATGATAGCCGGTTATCCGGGTCAACATATAGGATACTTTTTACTGCGAGAAACTATCTCATATCTGAGAAATATATAATATACGTTAAAACGTAAGTTCGATAGTTCGTTCATAAAATTGATAAATAGATACTATATAATTCATTTTTATTTTCTTTAACATGTACGCTATTTCAAAGTTACTTGTATGTTTTTCAGACCTAAAATAATTGGTTTGACAACTGCCAATGGAAACACCAATGAAAACAATGTGTATACAAATAACCAGAGGATATTGAAAGTTGCCAAAAGACAAGACGTAGGTATTTTCTTATTTGTTAAAAATAAGTAAAAAAAATATATTCGACTACGTAAAAATATTTATGCCTTGTTGTAACTCAAAATTCAGATAAGATAATAGCTTTTTAGATTTACGTGAATATTTGACATTTTAAATAAAACCTTATTACTGTCTGTAACAACTATAATATAATGATCTTTGAGACATCTAAACCTCTGTCTCTCCCGTGACCATGTATTATATATATTATATACTGTAAAGCATTTAAAACGTCAAGAACCAAAAATCAAAATAAATCCGCGAAATCCGAAAAGATAGATTTATTTAGAAACAGGTAAGATTATAATCAACCACTCAATAACTAACTGACTTACATATTAATCATAAAGTTTCCAAACTCTAGTAAAACTAAAGCAATATAATTTTATTACATAGTATAGTATTATATAATCTGTGGTTACATTAAAGCTTGTATAATGTTTGGGACTCCTGAGAAAAGAATTAAGGCTAAGTTCCTTTGTGGAGTTGAATAAATATAAGAAAACTGTAAGATTTCGCAATATTAAATGCAAAATTTTATTCAGTTATTTAGGTATGTATACTATTATAATCTACTTCTATCATAGCGTACTGTTTTAGAAGTCGCAGGTTCGATTTCTAAAACTGCATTCAACGTTGGAAAACAATGATCAAAGAAACTCCTTTACTTCTCCCATTTTTTCAATTTATTTTGCAAGAAGAAAAGTTTATAACTACTTAATTAGAGAATTGCTTTCAGGTTCCTATATATAGGGGCTCTAAATCATCACTAGTAACCACACCAGAGACTAACGACTATTTTGGTAGAGACGGTCTGGGAGATGTTGACGAAGAGTTGACTGATTTAGTTCCTGCTAAAGATCAAGGAGCTGTCTCGGCCCTCGTTGAACTGTCTAAAACTTATGAAGGTATGAATGTATTAAAAGTAAGCTAGCTATGAATGAAAAAACGCAAACTAGTAGAAGAAGAAATAGGAGCAAAGAAAAAAAAGACAGAAAGTTTCACAATAAATGGTCCGGGAGCCAGGTAAAAATTTGGTCGATTATTTCCTCTCAAGCGATAATTAGTGGAACGCAGCGGAGAGTTGTATCATAAAGCTTCGTGAACGTCAGCTGCGGCTCCGTGGGTTGGATGAGCGATGAAAATAAATATTCCGTATAAATACATCAAAACTAATAAGTATATAATCAAATTTTATTAAAAAAATAATATTGAATTTATTAATTATCTGTTGAGATAAGTAAAAACCCCATATTTTTTTTATTAAAGCCAGCGCTTATTGCTATAGAAAGACTTATAGTCAAAACTTCCATTTTAAAATTCGAAAAAAATCAAATGAATTCTTTCTATAAGTACATTATCTTATACTCTATATAATTATCTTAACGCCATTTTTTTTATTGAATATCATTCAAATGTGTTGAATTGTTTCGTGTTCAAGAATATATACACAAGTATATGTGTTTGAGACGTCAATAACCTTAGTCTCTCCCGTGACCATGACTGCTGTAAAGCATTCGAAACGTTGGGAACCAAAAATCTAAATAAATCCGCGAAATAATCCGAAAAGATAGTTTTATTTAAAATGTCAAATATTCGCCTAAATCTAAGAAAGTATTAAGTTCAAGATGTCATAATCAACGACATTCAAAGTCAAACATAATTTTTGTTTTATAATATAAGTATGATACTTTTCAGGTCAACTTACAGTAATAACATTGGGTGCACTAACAAATATAGCAATGGCTATCAAGACGGACCATAATTTCCTGTCACGTTTATCCCACTTATATGTCGGTGCAGGACATGTACATAGTAAGTTACAATGATTGTAAATTTTTTTACACACAGTATTATTTATTTTTCAACATAATTTATTTGATATTATTTATATTATTTAGGTTTTTTGTTATATATACGTATATAAAATATCATACGTATGTATATATACATATGTTTATATCATTTTTGTTTTTTCCTAACTTTGTTATTTGTTCACACCCCTTCCACTTCACACTTGGTTATTTCCCACACCTAAAGGCGCCTGGAAGAAATCGCTGTTTTAGCGATAAGGCCGCCTCTAGTGCACTTTCCTCCCAATGTATTGTTTTTATTTCTTCTTCTTCTTTTGTGTGTATAGAGTTCTTATTATTATTATTTATATACTATATGCATAAACATTTCTCCCATTTCTGGGGTTGAGATTCTCTAATGAGGATTTTTAGACAAACTACTTACGGCATGTATTAAGAATGACAGCTTTCTGTAATTGAATGTACAGGAGAGGATGAATGTCGAGCTGTTTGAGGCTTGCGTGTAAAAACTCTTTTCTTCTACCTCCACCTTCGATTCCGTTTCCGGTTCCGGTTCCGACAAACCAAATTTAAAAACTCTAATTCCGAATTCCGTTCCAATAAAACCACCTCTTTAATAGCCATAATAGGTATGTATATATTCGTTTCTAGCTCAATTTTGGAATCATTGTAAACACGTTATGATATTGTTTTATTTACAGACGAATATGTACCAGATGCGGAATTCAACGCGCATATGGACGTAGAGGCGTACCATATAATGGCGCAGCACGCGACGCCTGATAAAGTCACTCTACTGCCCTTCTCACAGACTATGCACCATTTGAATCTTTCTAGAGTAAGTTAGCTAATATTATAAAAATATATACTTAAAATTTATAATTTACACTGTTTGAAGCAAATTGTAACATTATTGCACTATTTACGTACTCTGAAATATCATTTCTATGGGCATAGTTTTGTATTATTGTGACTATTTTTCAGTCTTACTAATATTATAAATGTGAAAATTTGTGAGGATGGATGGATGTTTGTTACTCTTTCACTCCAGAACAGTTGAACGGATCTGGATGAAATTTGGCACAAAGACAGATTATAGGCTGAATAATCCAGTCAAATAAGGTCTAAAATCAAAATGTTGGCACTCAATTTTGCATTTTTGATATAATGTAGTTTTAATGATACAAAAACAATGTGTAAAGGTTTTAGTGTGTGGTATCCATAACACAAGCCTCGTTGCTTACCATGGAACTAGATGGCACTGTGTGTTGATGTCCCAACATATTTATATTTATTTATATATTTAATTTTTCCGTAGGAATGGAGAGAAAACGTTTTAGGCACAATAAATACAGATATAATGAGAGCACAAAACTTGTATGAAAGAATTTCACTAACATACAGCGATCGATGGCATGCACTAGACCCTGCTACCATAGCCATCGCTCTTAGACCCGATTTAGTGGATGAATATAAATACTCAAAAAATGATATAATTTTATGCGGTAAGTATTATTTAATATTTTTATTTGAAACGTTTTAACGGTTTTAATATAGATTTCTCAGAAATTAGATATTTCCCGCAGTAAAAAGTATCCTAAATGTTGACCCGGATAACCAGTTATCATCATACAAAATTTCATCAAAATCTGTCCTGCGGTTTTCTCGTGGTGCGTTCCCAGACAGATAGACAGACAAAAATTCTTAAAACTATAGATTCGGCCTCTGTATCGATAATAATTACTATTTCAATAAGATTTTCCAAAAAATATTTAATGTATAGATTCGACTCAGAATTTTATTACATACAGTATAGATTGATATGAAAATTGTTAATATTATGTAGTATGTCTATGTACGTATCTATTTGGATTAGGTATTGGTAAAGATAAGATATTCTCGCACTTAGCAATTTATTTTAGTTCGAAGGCACAATTGTTATTTAATTACTTCGTCTTGCTTGTTAGGATTACCTACTACAATTTTTCAAAACCATGGTGGTTATAAGATGGTTATAGGGATAAATGTTTATTTGTTTGTTTGTTTGTCCTTCTTTCAGCTATATACAGTTTCAAGTTTTGAACTTTTTTACATAAAATCGTAACACATATACATAATAATTAATATGTACATAATAATTAATATATGGAAATTAAAATTAGAAAATGAAGAAATTTAGTTTTTTTTTAAATTAGATAATCTTCACGTCAGATTTTTATTACAATGATTGACAATGATATGAATATATAATTATACAGTATCGGGACTAAACCTAGGTAGTTCCCTTACAAAAAAGGGATAAAAATGACTAAGGAGTGCCAAATCCTATCCTATCCGTAACCGTTTTGTCAGTCCATGGGACAAAAAGCTGGCAAAGATAAGCCACCTTGAAAATCACGACCCAAATTAATAACGTAATCTCGAAATACTTGCTATAGAGTGGTATTCTTATATATCTATTGTTTTTTTCACAGGTGAAAAAAGGGGTGTCAATACTAATACTTTCGTGGAGAAAGGGGAAGCTAATGTAAGAATAGCCTATTCAATGAAGATGGATGAATATAAACAATTTCTATTAGATACCTTTGCTTTAGAATAAAAAAAAACTGCTTATTTTTAAATTTAAATTGTTTCATTTATCTACTTGTCTATACATATTGTTAGCTGTATCTCGAAAGTAGTGGGAGTTACGACCCTATATAAGACTATGAAAACCAGCGCCGCTCTCTCTTCTCTGGTCAAAAGGCGTGCGCTCGTGGACTCGAAAAGATCTATTGAATACCGTATTTCAAAAATTAGTCATTGTGTGATTTTATTAATTTTATTTTTCTTTTGTATAAATTATAATCATTTGTTTTGTTAAATTTGTATATTTTTTTTTAATTAAATTTATTTTTAAAATATAAAAATATAATAAAATTCAAACTAAGTCGAATCTGTACATTAAATATTTTTTGGAAAATCTAATTGAAATAGACATTATTATCGATAGAGTCCGAATCTATAGTTTTTAGAATTTTTGTCTGTCTGTCTGTCTGTCTGCCTGTCTGTCTGTCTGTTACCGCATCACGAGAAAACCACTGGTTGATGAAATTTGGTATGATGATAGCTGGTTATCCGGGTCAACATATGGGATACTTTTTACTACGGGAAAATATCCCATCTCTGAAACTTAGGACGAACCCGAGCGTAACTTGGGACGAACCCGAGCGGAGCGGGGGTGAGTCGCTAGTGTATAATAAATAAATACGCAACGACAAAATAGTTCAGTAGGTACTTTTTTTCCTCTGTTTATCAACAGATTTTCTTTTTTCAAGACGAGCGTTAGTTATATTAATAAAAAAATGTCGGAAGCAGTATTTTTTTATACTTCTAACGATTTTTTTATACTTCTAACGATTTTTGTCGAATTTCGACTACTGCACGAACACTAGTTTTATTAAAAGTTCTATGCGATAAGTACATATTTACTACATAATATTACCTACATCACTATACCACATAGCCGTTATTCTGCGTATGTATATTGTACATAACCTTTTTATATACATATTATGTATGTATGACTTCACTCGATAGGTTTTTAAATTTATTTTTTTTCTAATTTATTCATCCACAAATAACTTGATACTTAAGTAGCGCCATCTGTTGCAAAACCATATTATCTAGTACAGTTTTATATTATGTAAGCTAGCGACATCTGTTACTAAAGATATGCATTTCATGCGCGTTAAATTCTTTCGACATCATTTATGTATACACCGGCAGATGGCTTTTATACTGTAACATTTCTTCTTTATAAAAGCAGTTAGCAATATGAAGGACTTTCTAAAAAAGTACTTTAATACCTATTTATAATATTTTTCCTGGTATATAAATATATTTTTTATTTTAAAAATATCTTTATTTAATCAACATAAATAATTAAATTAAGTACATTTGTAGTGTAAATTTAATCTTAGAAGTACATATATTATATACTATTATATTTGTTTAAACAAGTTTACAGAATTATATAAAACTTATAGCAAAAGGTAACATGTGAATATAAATAATAATTACATATGTATTAATGATTGAACAGTAGGTATATCATTTAAAGTTTTATTAAAATCGAATCAGTAGTTTTTGTGTACTAAGCTGTATAACTTATTATAGTTTTTTAACTATCCCACGGGAACTTTTGAATTTTCCGTGATAAAAAGTATCTAAGATTGCCCAGGGATATAAAAGGTACTACCATGCAAAATTTCATTCAAATCGGTCCAATAGATTCGGAGATTAGCCCGTACAAACAGACAAACAGACAGAGAAACAAAAAAATTGAAAAAATCTGGATTTGTTCTATTTGTCTTCTTACATCGCCCTAACTCGGTTTTATGCATTTTTTTGATATGTACAGACATTCGACCTCTACTCTTTTATTATAGTATAGATGTTTTATTTTAGCTTGTAGTAGATACTATCGATTAGAATATTAAAAGTTAAGTTTAAAGTCGGTGTGCTTTGATTTGTATCGGCTGGCACCGACGTAGAAAATATATATATAGTAAATGAAAACTACTTGAATCAATTAGTTTTTACTTTTTAGTGTGTTTTTTTGAAGTCGGTTTTTATTTCATTTTTTTAATTTTTATGATTCGGCACATTTCATGATACCTACTCTTAGTTTACGTATCATTTTAGGCCTTCGACTAGGTCTCTAATATATTTATATCTATCTATCTCTATGTATATGGAACCCTTATATAAAATTTAAAAAAGAGAATTTAGTTAGTTTCATTCACTTTTATATTTTCTATCTAAAAGTAAGTCTTTTGAGAAAAAATATCTTTTATGATATAAGTTGGAATTTTGAAGTATGGTAGGTAAAAACAATAAAAACGTCAAAAGAATCATTTATCAAGGGATTTTATCATATCCTTTAGGGCACTTCATTTATATACCATCTAAAGATAAAAGGTTTTAAACGTATGAGAATGATATTTACTATGTATCTACTTTGGGGTAGAATGTTACGATGCATCAACATTCTTTGTATATTATATATAAAAATTAGACAAATTTTGAATTATTTTTCAAAATTTATCTAATATTTAAAATTACATACCAAATATTTAATTTTATTATTAATTTAAATTTTATATATCTAATATTTAATTATTTATTTATATACCATAAACCTGTAAGTACTTGGGCCCTTTTGTAGTCAAAAAGCAAAAAGGAGACGTTTAACATAAACTTTATCATTATAATTAAATAAATGTATGTTTATCCGTTTGACTGTATTTCAGGGTCATTTTACTGAGAGATAATTGATACTATACCTAAAGCTGTATCTTAAAGTCGAGCAAAAATAGGCATTAGATTCTTCTTCTAGAGAAAAAAGTTGTAAATCTTTTAAAACACAGAATCTTATTTAGTCACAAACTAGCAACTCACTCTATTTCGTCCCTAGATACGTTTTAAGGGTTAGTATGGAATAAATAGAATATTATGATTTATAGCCTATAACCTTTTTTTATGGTGTTCAGTGACAAACGAGCAAACAGACCACCTGATGGAAAGCAGTACGTGTCGCCCATAACACCTACGGTTCATGCACTTAGGGTTTATGTAACAAAAATGCCGAACCGTTGGTGCGTTGTCACTGTGAGGACTAAGATGATATGCCCCTTGCCTGTACTTGCGCTGCCTACCTTATCCTTCAAACCGGAACACAACAATATTGCTTGGCGGGAGAAATAGATAAGGGGGTGGTACCCATCCAGTTGGACTACTCAGGCTTGACGAAGTCCTACCACTGGTAATCTATATAACCTTCCTCAATGAACGCGCTATCTGAAGCAAAAATATTTCTTCAAATCGGATTAGTAGTTCCTGAGATTAGCGCGTTCAAACAAACAAACTTTGCCTCTTTATAGTATTAAGTATAGAAAACAATTTGAACAACAATAAAAGTTACTTAAATAAACCACTATAAAAATAGTGTTCGTAATCATAAAATGATAAAAATGTAATCTTATTTTACGATGATCTATAAAATTTTTAGTGCCATAATATTATAGAAAAGGTCAAGTGGATTTGCCAACAATAATTCAGTGTATGATTTTGTAAAGACTTTTATAACTTTTATGAACGCATGACTTCAAAATTTAATTTAATTTTTCCAATAACAGATTGACCAATAACTTTTGACCTTTAATAAAAAAATATCATCTAATTGGTTTCACTATATTTGGTGTGAAATTTGGTATGGCGATATATAACTTAAATTAAGAGGATTTGTTTTCCTGGATACATCTCAGAATAAAAAAAATAAGGTAGACAGTGAATCCGACAAAAACTTGTCAAAAAAAAGGTTGTACCTACTTAAATATTGTAATAGGTACTAAATCTAGTTTCCTACTACCCGCATTTTTACTCCATTTTTCTGACATTTCTACTTATTATCTTTTTTATTGTGTGTACAAAAATAAATTGAAGTAAATAAAAAATACAGACGTCTTAAGTACCTCCTTTCCGAAGAAGTCAGTAAATAAAAATGACAAGCAGAATAAATAACTAAGGTGACCTAGAGAACATTTTTTTTAAAAGGTGCCTAGTGTCCGTCCGATATTCGACCATCATTACTAAAATTTTGAAGAAAAGATAAATGAATAGAATTTAATATATTCCTACCTATCTAGTATTATAAAAAATAACTGTTTCTAGAATCTTTTACTGATAAAACTTAAATTCCTAAATAGCACAGATAATAATATAATAGCTACTAAACAAAAAAGAAAAAAGAAAATCGGTTGACAAGCAGAGCGAAGAGGTGTTTTGTCTTTGCCTATTTATATACCTTGTATATTATATATGACTAGCATTGCCCGCGACTCCGCCCGCGTTCAGATGACCAAAAACCAAATTCTTAGGTTTTAAATATTAGTAATACTCTTACAATGCAGTTTTTGTATTTTTTCTCAGAAATGAAACATTTTCCCGCGATAAAAAGTAACCTATATGTTGACCCGGATAACCAGCTATCACCATACTAAATTTCATCAAAATCCCTGCAGTGGTTATTCTGTGATGCAGTAATAGACAGACAGACAGACAAAAGTTTTAAAAACTATAGATTCCGCCTCTGTATCAATAATAATGTCTATTTCAATAAGATTTTCCAAAAAATATTTAATATATATAATAGTAGAGATTCGGCATAATTACAATTTTATTATATGTATAGATAACATGTTACGTTCTTGTTGCTTACTGCTGACTGCTTTAAATTGGTAATTTATTTACATCTACCGACCACGGTTTATTTTTCTTTGTTTAAAATGATGATTGAAATGTAATCGCTTTTCTAAAGCCTGTAGGCTGCCCCTAGTACACAAAAACTACTGATTGGATTTTGATGAAACTTTACAATAATATAGTTCATACATGATAATAACAAATCGGCTACTTTTCATCCCGGAATATTAAAGGGTTCCCGTGGGACAGTCAAAAAACTATAGTAACTTATACAGTTTAGTACACAAAAACTAATGATTGGATTTTGATGAAACTTTACAATAATATAGCTCATACATAATAATAACAAAT